TTAGAATGTTTTATTTGTATTTGTTTTAAGCATTAGAATATTTATGCAAAGTTTCAATCCATTTGGATAAACCCTCGAAGAAAAAAGTGACAAAATTGATTTTGACTAGGGTCGCCCCTAGTCCAAAATTGAAAATGTATTTCCTACTTGATTCTTTGCTCAAAAAAATTTAGAATGTTTTATTTGTATTTGTTTTAAGCACTAGAATATTTAAAGTTTCAATCCATTTGGATAAACCCTCGAAGAAAAAAGTGACAAAATTGATTTTGACTAGGGTCGCCCCTAGGAAAGTTTTTTGCTATTTCTGAAGCAACGGCTGTTTCTATCTTGCCCAAAAACAATACAGCTCTTCTATAGAGCAGCACGGATCAAATGTAAAAATTTAGAAGTCTCTACAATGTCTCGTTATTGAGATTTCTTGCTGATTAACTTGCTTGTTTGCTTGTTTGCTTGCTTACAGAAAGCATATTTTGCGATTTTCTCAACAATGCCGCAACCAATTTGAAATCTGTTTTTTGCAAAAGATGTGAAATTTAAGGCACAAACTTTTCATCTCTGAACATTTTAAGCTATCTTGCTCCATATTCTCACAAAATTCAAAAAACTGATTTTTCAATCTGAACAAAACCAATAGATTCACTCGTGAAAACGATGTGAATATAAAAAGCGATGATAACAGAAATCTAAAAGAAGAGTTGCGCAAGTCGTGAAAATGCGAAGGCGTGGAAATGTTTTGAAAAACAAAATAAAACAAGTGAAAATTAAAAAATATTTTTTTATTCCAGCATTTATCGACAGAACAGTAAATAATATTTCTTTTCTTTTTTCATGTTAATTAATTCAATAAACAAGCGAGTGAGAAAGGAAAAAAATAGTTTTTTACGGATCATAATCGTAAATCGATCAACGCACACGATCAATTTATACATGTGAGGAAAACGTTTGCTTTCCTCCAATAACGCTCTTATAGATTCACTTTTCCTGCTTTTCTTGGATACTGGGGGTCCTCGATTTGAGTAGATTCTATTTGAGTAGATTCGATTTGAACAGAAAATTTATTACCCACCAAAATATTCGATTTGAGTAGATTTCTTCCTGTTTTCTTCGATTTGAATTGTTTACAAAACAAATATTTTTGATAAAAACATTTCAGAAAATAATTTTAAAACATAAATTTTACTGCGATAAGCGTGAACTTATCATATTGATAGAAAAATCAATACTAAAGTTACAAAATTAAAGTAAAAATTTAAAAAATCGATATAAAATTAACGGGTTTAAAAAGTTCAAATTCAAAAACCTTACAAATTGTTCAGTGAAATAACATTTGCAAGGTTCTCATATTTTTGTTTTGTTTCAAAAACATTTTTTTTTGTGAATTTCCGTTTAAAAACAATATGAATATGCGTTGAAATAAATTAAGTTATCTAAAACACAAAGGAAAAGTTAAGAAACGAGGTAAAATGTGCAAAAAATGATCAAAATTTTCATTGTTTTGATTCATTTTTTGGACTCTGGAACAAAACATGTAATTTTGTATGGATTCTTTGCCTCGATTTGAATAGATTCGATTTGAGTAGAAATTTTTTGGAACAAAACAACTACTCAAATCGAGGACCCCCAGTATTTATTTACACACATATGTGTATTAAATTGATTTTTCTTCCCTCTTCCTCGTTTTCTATCTCTTTTAGACACATAATAAAAATTGAAAACATAAAAAGTTATTAAAAAAAAAAAAAAAAAAAAAAAAAAAAAAAAAAAAAAAAAAAAAACCTTTACCTATTCAGATCAATTGTGATCCAGAGGTGCGCTAGGGCGATTCGCAGCTAATGAGAGTTTAACGAGTGAGGATGCGCCAAACCACTGCACTCAAACCTAGACCTACAATTTATAGTGGGATCCGAACCACTCCTTTGATAACATTTCTGTCTGTAGCCTACAAAGGAAGGCTGTGAGCCTCATTTCCAGTACATATGATTCGAAAAAGGACAAGTGAAAAATTTCCCATACCCAGTCTCGAACCCATGATCGCTGTGTCGGTATTGCAATAATTAGGTACCGAAGTACTAAACCATTCCGCCACCGAGCCACTTCAGCTCATGAAAAAGTTATTAAAACTATTTATTATTATTGGAATTGGATTTTTTAAGGTCAGGAAATATTAAAAAATAATTTCGACTATTTGGAATCAGGAGGTTCTTTACAAGTGACGTTAAAGGTGTTGGAATTTTCACTCAAGATAAAACGTGTGAGAGAAGTACAAATGGATAATATCGAATGGACATCTGAAACTTTGCAAGTTTTCCGAGAGAAACTGAGATGAAGTTAGAATTTTTCGAGACCTCATAGTTTCTAAGATCTGGAGATGCCTCAACTCGTCTAATATCCATTTGTACTGCTGACAGGACTTTTTCAAAAATCATCCAAATTTTATAAATTATATATTAAAACTTATCTACTTTTTACGAGAGAAATGGAGAGCAAAAAAATTTTGCAATCAGACTTAGATTTTGAGATATGGCACTTTCATTTTTTTTATACGAATTTCAATTGGATCTTTCATATCAACTTTCCGAGAATAATTTTTAATAATACAAATTATACATTAAATTACATCTACATTTTCCGAGAGAAAACGAGATACAAAAATTATTTTGATTTGATCATTCTCTCTTCAGATATGGGCTTTTAAACATTTCGACGAGTTTAGATTTTGGACACAAATGGTCAACTTTTTGATACATAAAGGAATCAAACATATTATATATCAAAATACATGTACTTTTTCCGAGAAGATACGAGAAGTAAAAATATTTTCATTTCGACTTCTAATATATTAGAGTTATCAGCTAAAGCCAGGAATTTATAGAAAAAAATGCAGATTAGAAATATATTCACAAAAATTGAAAATTTTGTGTGAATATGAAAATCTTGAAAATTTAATGATAAATTCTGAAACTTTATCAGTTTATTGTTTTTTACATAAGTAATACGTAATAAGTGTCGCAATGTTTAAATTTAAAAATAAAGTGAGTGGACACACAATTAGAAATTTTTATATTTTCCAAATTTCTCCCTTATTTTTTCATAAAACCTATTAAAGTTGTATATTTTTGAAAAACATATCAAATTTCCAATAAAATGAAAAGAAAAGTTTTGGAAAATTTGCAAGTAATATAGTCACTTTGGGTAAAAAACGCATTTCATATATGCAAGTTTTTAATGTTTTTCATTTTTCTCAGCAACGACTTTATGAAAAGTTTTCAAATTTTTCACACTCATTGCTTATGTAAATGTTAATAATTCGTATAAGTTTCAGAATTTTCCATTGAGATTTTCACGAGTTTTCCTAGCCTGAATTTTTCACTATTAAAATTGATTTTTCTCGATAACTGCTCATTGTTAATAGATATTGTTCATCTTATTTTCTTTCATTTTTTAATAGCTTTCTATTGATATATACATTGAGCTGTTTTTTTTTTACCAACTTCAAGCTTCTGTAATTTTACTTGTGCTTATTGTAGACTCATGCGGTTTCTAGTGAATGAAAGTACTAAGCTAGACCTTTCCATAAATGTATAACATTTTTATGAAATTTAATTAGTTTAACTGAGTTTAACCAGAAAAAGCAAAATAAATTCAAGATGGCGGAGAATTTTGAAATTTTTCATACATTTTTCACACTTTTTTATTGATTTCTCTCTTGTCTCATACTTTTTCCTAGATTGTTATATATCAATAGAAAGCTATTAAAAAATGAAAGAAAATAAGATGAACAACATCTAATAACAATGAGCAGTTATCGAGAAAAATCAATTTTAATAGTGAAAAATTCAGGCTAGGAAAACTCGTGAAAAACTGAATGGAAAATTCTGAAACTTATACGAGTTATTAACATTTACATAAGCAATGAGTGTGAAAAATTTGAAAGCTTTTCATAAAGTCGTTGCTGAGAAAAATGAAAAACATTAAAAACTTGCATATATGAAATGCGTTTTTTACCCAAAGTGACTATATTACTTGCAAATTTTCCAAAACTTTTATTTTCATTTTATTGGAAATTTGATATGCTTTTCAAAAATATACAACTTTAATAGGTTTTATGAAAAAATAAGAGAGAAATTTGGAAAATATAAAAATTTCTATTTGTGTGTCCACTCACTTTATTTTTAAATTTAAACATTGCGTGACTTATTACGTATTACTTATGTAAAAAACAATAAACTGATAAAGTTTCAGAATTTATCATTAAATTTTCAAGATTTTTTCTAATCTGCATTTTTTTCTATAAGTTCCTGGCTTTAGATAGAAGTCGAAATGAAAATATTTTTACTTCTCGTATCTTCTCGGAAAAAGTACATGTATTTTGATATATAATATGTTTGATTCCTTTATGTATCAAAAAGTTGACCATTTGTGTTCAAAATCTAAACTCGTCGAAATGTTTAAAAGCCCATATCTCAAGAGAGAATGATCAAATCAAAATAATTTTTGTATCTCGTTTTCTTTTGGAAAATGTAGATGTAATTTAATGTATAATTTGTATTATTAAAATTATTCTCGGAAAGTTGATATGAAAGATCCAATTGAAATTCGTATAAAAAAAATTGAAAGTGCCATATCTCAAAATCTAAGTCTGATTGCAAAATTTTTTTGCTCTCCATTTCTCTCGTAAAAGGAGATAAGTTTTAATATATAATTTATAAAATTTGGATGATTTTTGAAAAAGTCCTGTCAGCAGTACAAATGGATATTAGACGAGTTTGGGCATCTCCAGATCTCAGAAACTATGAGGTCTCGAAAAATTCTAACTTCATCTCGGTTTCTCTCGGAAAACTTGCAAAGTTTCAGATGTCCATTCGATATTATCCATTTGTACTTCTCTCACACGATAAAACTTTTAATTCAATTTTAGATCTTCAACATTTTATTTTTAAACTACGGATTAGAATTACATCCAAGATTAATAATTTTAATCCACTGATTTAATCTGAAATTCAATTTTGCTTCTTCAACAAAAATTCAGGATGGTGTTTTTTCTGATGCTTCCACAAAGCTCCTTTCCGTGCATAAACATTGTTGCAAACCTCGCATGCAATGTTCAAAGGCTGATGTGAAAATCGATGGACATTCAGTAATTTTAATTTTTTAAAGAAATTTCCACAAACATTGCATTCGTAAATTTTCGATTGACTATGATTAATGTATTCATGCTGCCTTAGTTCCTGGCGTCTACTAAAGAAATTGCCACAATCTTTGCATGTATAAACTTTTAAATTAATCTTATTGCTATCACTTTGGTATTGTTTTTCGTGAACTGCCTTAATATGACGAATCAGTTGATACTTTCCAATCATTTTATCACACATTGGGCACTTGACTATTGTGTTGTTGGATTTTGATGCATGATGTCTTAAATGGACTTTAATGTTTGATACCATTTTGCCACATAACTTGCATTCAGTTGCTGTTATTGGAAGGAAATTTAATTTAATAAAATTTATACTTTATTGAGTTAAGGAACTTACGTTCGTCATGATTATGGACGTGAACTTCAAGCTGATATTTTTCCTTAAACATTGCTCCACACTTTTCACATCCAAACTGCTTCTGCTCTAAATGAACAGCTCTTAGATGACGAATTAAATTTCCATGAGATTTAAACTTTCTGCAGCATTTGTCACACTTAAAATCAGCAATAGTTTTATGAGTCACAAGCAAGTGAGTAACAATTGAGCTTCTTGCCAAATACTTTTTTCCGCAATAATCACATATAAATGGATCTGATTTTCTCCTTTCAATGGTTTTTATGCGGTGAAATCCTCGTTTATGTTGAGACAAAAGTGACTTGTTGCTGAATGCTGTGGATCCACAAAAAATAAACATTAATCCTCACTGGATCTTTGAATTTGTCAATTTTCCTTACCTTCTGTGCAGTTTGACTCCTCACATGGATATAAAACAGACTTTCTACGAACAATTTCCTTTCTATGGGTTAACAAGTGCTTCTGAAGATCATTCTTAGTCTTTAAATTTGACAATCCGCAAAAATCGCAGATAAAATCATTTTGCCTTCTTAATTTAACATAATTAATACTTTTAATAACAGTCTTTGGCTCTTTAAGTTTAGCAGATTCAGTTTTCAAGTCCGTTTCTTTACATTCTGGATCTTGTTTTGGACTTAATCTTTCAGCAAAAATATGATCGGATTCTTCAATTTTAGTCAGTTCCAGCATTGCTTCGTCAAGGAATTCATACTGCCAATCTTCTGGTGTCATGTCAATCCTCTCATTCTTAATATTAACGGCTTCCAGCTCATTACTGGATGTTTTAAGAATTTGATTAATTTTGTCATGATTTGAAGTCTTTGCTATTCTACCTTTAAGCTTAATAAATTGTTCTTTTGCCACAGTGGCTAATTTTTCGAGATCTTCATTAGTTTGTGGTTCCACAACCTTCTTCATTGGACATCTTCCTTTTTGGTGCTTATGAAGTCCAGCCTTTTGAACAAAGAGTGATCCACAGTCAAGGCACTTAAATTGAGGCTCATAATGACATCGTTTATGAACCGTGACTAGCTTGCCTTTTTTAAAATATCTGTTACATCCAGGAAAGTCACAGAAGTGAATTTTCTTTGAAAAGTGAATAAAGCTGTGATCTCTTAGTTCCTCCTTCGTCCTAAATACTGAAGAACAATCATTACACTTGAAATTTTCTAATCCAAAATCTGATTTACTTTTGTGGATTCGCTTTTCATGACTAGTTCTATTGTTAATTTTATTAAAAAGCAATCCACAGAATCTGCATGAATAAGTCATATTCTGATCAGTTTTAGAAGCTCGACTGTTGGGATCATGTCTTTCGATGTGTCTCTTAAGCTTGTACTTATTTACAGACCGTCCACAGATATCACAAATGATAAAATAGTTCTTATCAAAGTGTAACTTTAGGTGATGTTTTAAATTGTTCGAGGAAAGATAATTACGTCCACAAACGTTGCATTTAAGATTCCTATGCTTGTCAATATGCTTCCTTAGCTTGCTCTTGTCCTTAAAAACACTTCCACATATATCACACTGTACATTATTATCCATTTCATTGATAAATTTATTAAATAGTGAATATTTACACAAATTTTTTTGGATGTAAACAAATCGGATTAAGGTTTATATTCGGATTAAAAATTCAAATAAAATTTAACCGTTAAATTTCATGCAGATTAATAAATCATTAATTTTACTTTTCAAATTGTTTTATATACTTTTATGCCAAAATTCTTCATGAGTAAGTGAACATTCGTAAATTTTTGCAACTAATTTGTATGATCTAAGTCTAATGCATCTCATTTTCCTTAGATTTCTATTTTGCTGGCTTTTCATTCTCTTTTGTATTTGTTTCAGGTTTCTCACGTTCCTTATTCCAACTTTCGAGACCCGATGGAAGTGTTGTATCCTCCTCAAAGCTTCCAGTTCCTTCAACGAATTCCTCATATGTTGATTTCTCAATAAATGGTCGTTTTCCTAAAATTTCAATCATATCATCGCGACTTAAAGTCTCATTTTTTAAAAGTCTTTCTGCCACTTTTTCGACTTCAACTTTCTTAGCTGTCAGGAGCTCTGTTGTTCTCTTATGAGCTTCTGTGATCATCGCTCTTGCTTCTTCATCAATTATTTGTGCTGTTTGTTCAGAATATGGTTTACTAAACATTGGATCGCCAGGCTGTGACATATCAAAACTGACATTTCCAACCTTATCATTCATTCCATATCGGACGATTTGTGCATAAGCACTTTCTGTAATTTTCTTAAGATCATCTTGAGCACCAGTTGTGATACGTCCGAAAAATAATTCTTCTGCAACACGTCCACCAAGTGTCATACACATTCGATCATAAAGTTGTTCCTTAGACAATAAATATTGATCTTTTGGAAGATATTGAGCATAGCCCAAACCTTTACCTCTTGGAATAATTGAAACTTTCAATAATGGATCTGCATATTCCAAGTACCATCCACAAACAGCATGTCCAGCTTCATGATAAGCAACTGTTTTCTTTTCATCTGGTGACAAAACATTTGTTTTCTTTTCCATTCCAGCAATAACTCTTTCAATAGCTTGTTCAAAATGTTTCAATACAATTGATGTGTTGAGGTCTCGTGCAGCAATTAAAGCAGCTTCATTACAAACATTAGCAATATCAGCCCCAGAAAATCCAGGGGTTAAAGCTGCCATTTTTCTTGATAATTCAATTTTATCTAAATCTGTTTTTAAATTTGACAAATGGACCTTAAAGATTGATGCTCTTCCTTTAATGTCAGGCACTGGAACAAAGATTTGACGATCAAAACGTCCAGGTCTCAAAAGTGCTTTGTCAAGAATATCAACACGATTTGTAGCAGCTAAAACAACAACATTTGTACTGGTATTGAAGCCATCCATTTCGACTAGCAACTGATTTAATGTATTTTCCTGCTCAGAATGTCCACCGAAGGATTTTCCTGGAAGATTTATTAATTAAAAACCGTTAGACAAAACTCAAATTAAGTTCAAGATTCAAAAAAGGTTCAAAATTAAAATTTGAAAAATTAAAACCGTTAAATTACCTCCACGTTTTCTGCCAACAGCATCGATTTCATCAATGAATAAAATGCATGGAGCTTGCTTTCTAGCCATTGCAAACATGTCACGAACACGAGATGGACCAACACCAACAAACATTTCCAAGAATTCGGAACCAGAAACAGTAATAAAAGGAACATTTGCTTCTCCAGCCGTTGCTTTAGCCAAAAGAGTTTTACCTGTACAAATAAATCATGAATAAGTGACAAATAAATGGAATATTGAGCATATTAAGGCATTACCAGTTCCAGGTGGTCCAGTCAACAGTGCTCCTTTCGGAATTTTTGCTCCTAAATCAATATATTGCTGTGGATTCTTTAAAAAGTTTACAAACTCCATAATTTCAATTTTAGCCTCCTCACATCCAGCCACATCACTAAAATACATAAAAATAATCAGTTTACAGCATATAAGATGACAGTTAAAGATGAGCTTACGAAAACTTCACTCCAATTTCGCTTGGATTGATGAATTTAGCAGTTGACTGCATTACACCACCAAATAATCCACCTCCTTTCTTTCCTCGTCCACCGCCCATCATATCGGCAGATCTTCTCATCATATAAATTAAGAATCCTATGATTAAAATTGTTGGCAACAAACCAGTCAAACTTGATGCTTCAATTTCGGTTTTATAAATTACTGGAATATAATTAACAGGCTCAACATTAAGATCAGCCTGTGCATTCTCTAGATTTCTTTCGAACGAATCGACACTGCCAATATTAAACCATAGAACACCATCAGTCGAGTTTCCAGGCGCAAGCTTCACTCGGACCCACTTTTTGTTTACAACTTCTAGTCTTTCAACTATTCCACGGCCAAGATAACTACAAACAATTTCATATTTATTAATATTAAGGCATAGAAAGCACCAGAACTTACTTGTTTATAAAATCTTTCCATGAAATCTCTTTATAGCCTAACTCAAAGTACATGAGAGCGCCAATTAAAGCAACAAAACCCATAGCAGCATAGAAAATCATTTTGTTCTGATCAGGATTCTGCTCATTACCAGGAGGAATTGGACGTCCTTGTCCTTGATTTTGACTACCTTTTGAAGGTGTTGGACTGAACATTCCAAGATTCCAATCTGGTGTTGATTTATTGCTACTGCTAGCTGATGACGATGGTTTTGATGTTGGTGGCTTACTGGACGAATCAGCTGGCTTTTCACTGGATTTTTCATTGGTCTGTTGATCACTTGATGCCGATTGAGTCGATTTTGGTGGTTTGAAAAATTTATCAAAACCTTTCGGACCATCACTTGACATCAGAATTCTTACTTCATTTAAAAATGCTTCAAATAAGGACGTTTTATTTCCATTTCTTACGAGAAATGCTAAATCATGTTTAAGCTGGATAAGAAAAAATTTTGTGTTGGACATGATGAAATAAATAGAGGAAAATGAGAAATCACAAGTTGTAAATTTTGCCTTAAACTCACCTTTAAATCTATTGATGATTGATTTTTCTTATAACATGTCAAAAGTGCCTTCTCTATCCGCCTATTACACGTTGTTGACAATAATCTATATGCCATATTTTCCTTAAATTAATTAATTTTTAATTTGTGTTATTCAATTTTGGTTCTCAACTTTAGCTTAATTTTTTGACTGTTTTTATATCATGCTCATAGTTCTTGTTTGACTGAATGTCCAGAATTTAAATTCAATTCGACAGTTTTTGCATGATTTTATTAAAATTTTGAATATTTCATACCCGTTAATTCCGTTGACTTTAGAATTTGTTTTAGTACTAATATTTTCACATCCATTGGCTGAGTATCTGCTTAGTTTTCTGTGGACTGATCTGTTTATTTGAAATCAAACATATAACTTTTAAAAATTTAACAGGTTTTTCAAACTTAAATTGCTAATGCTATTTAAAGTTTTGGAATTTGCAGACACAAGTTGTTATTTAAAAATTCATTATCGTATGAATCCATTTCCTTGAGCTTTCAAATGCTGTGTCAAACTTCATCTCGTAAAAAATCTAGTCATCCTACAACCCGAGAACTTGCAGTCAACAAAAAAAGTAAACACAAATTTTCACGAAAATTCAACAGTCTAAAATCGCAAGAAAACGAAGGTTTATTAAGTTATTTCTAGTGAAATTCGATTAAAACTCCTATCATATAGTATAATAGCATGAAAAGCACGCAAATATGTCGGCAATAAGTGAATACGAAGGAAATAAAATTTTAGAATTTTTTAAGAGCAATCCTGATAATGAGAAGAAGTTAATTTCTATCGCTAAAACCATAACAAAAAACACCTTAACTCATTTATCAACAAATGGTGAGAATATCTGGAAATTAATTAATTTACAATGTTTAATTAAGATATAAAAAATGTATTTTTAGATGCTTACAAAATCGTCATCCTTCATAGCGAGTCAGTTTCAAGTATATTGAATAGGAAAACTGTATCAAAGGAAATGCTGCTAAAATACCTCACTGATAGTAATATTCCAGTAACGAACAATTTTACGAAATCAACACTAGTCGAACAGGTCATTGAGTATTGGAAGAACCTAGAGAATGGCGTTAAATATTCTCCAGTATCCAGCATACAGCAACCAGAACCGCTTTCTCAACAACAACCACAGCAAATTTATCCACAACATCACATAACATACTCAACAGATCATCTTGCCAGACCAACAGAGAACTTTCCTATTAATGTCATGTCAAGGAACTTTTGTAGCTGGTTTTATAAGAACTTTAATGAATTTACAATACAGCCGAATGATTTTTGGAGTGACTGTACTATCCACGTCCAAATGATTGACAGGAACGGCGATCTCAAAGAGGATTCAACTATAACTGCTCGTCTCGTACTTAACTTACTGTATTCTATTAAAAGTCAATTTAATTTCTATTTTAATCCTAACTTATCGTACGAAGGAACTCGCGGGAAGTATGTCATACTTAACTTAAAGTTATCATCTTCATTATTAACATTTTTGATTTATTTAAGAATGGATTTGCATGGATTGGTCTTAATACTCTGTTGTGGAACACTTCATTCTCACGAATCAGTTGCTGACGGCGTCTTTGAATCTGTTTTTGGACTAATGAGAGATCCTTTCAGCGAGAATAACTGGAAAATTAAAAATATAAAGTTGAAACTACAAAGCTCAATTGGCATTAGCCATAAAGCTCCTGAACTCCAAAACTGTCCATCTTTGCAACAATTTCTAGCCCTACCAGAATGTGAAGAGACTTTATGATTCTATTAAATCGTTGATCTTGTACATAGATTTGAGGTGTAATTGCCATCAAAATAAAACATGTTATTGAGAATTATGCTTCATAATTTCTATTTTAATAAATAAATTAACTATTCTGTTTATTTATCGCAGTAAAACACGGCTTTTTCTTCTTTTTTGAATCAGCACATTTTTCTGTACACTGTTTGCGCACATGGCTAATATATTTTAAACTGATTTTCGTTAAATTTAATATAAAATCTTTTTAACGAATTTCGTTCAGTAATCCAAGTTTGTTTCTATTCAGTTCAGTTTAACGAAACATTTTAAATTTCAGAAAGTCGTTAAAAGTTTAAATTACGAAATGTTGTATAAAACAAAAATTGAATTTAATTTCTTGTTAAAATTTTAACGATGGTGAAAAATGTGCTGATTACTTAACAGTTGATATTTGATTTTACTTACAAACGTTTCCTGAACGGACTTTACCTTATATCACAGAAAATTTTCAGATTGTACTCTTCAGATGGATGTGCATGCCCTGAAAATATAATGAAAAATTTCATTTATTCTTGTTTCTTTTAAGGAATGTTAAAAAGATATTTAAATAATCATTGTGTCAAAGTCACTACCTAATAAACATAATTATCAGATATTTAATGGGCTTTAACACACACATTAAATGGATCATCATCTGGAATTGTATAATAAAATAGAATGAATTAAGTAAATGGCTTAAAAGGATCTGTAATATTACAATTTAATTAATTAATGAACTACACATAATTTATTACTTATTTTTCCTCAAATATTGACCTTTTCTGAACTTCTTTTACTATTTTTAAAAAACTTTTCATACAAGAATAAACAAAAAAAAAAAGGAAGATGTCCCTAATTTATGGGCCAATAATTTTCCACTAATCAAATACAAATTTAAAATGTTTTATTAATATTACTTATTTTTTTCACTGAGGTTTACCTCTTAATATGTTTGTGATCCATTAAAAGTGCATTGAGACACACAACACAAAACTGACTTAAATTTTGTCTTGAATAAATGGATGTGATAATGCATGATTGAGAGATATACGCTTTGAAGGATCTAATGAAAATATCTTATCGAGTAAATCCTTCAATTGTGACACTTTGCGAACTTGCTCTTCTGGAAGATTTTGAGATACCAGCTCTTGCTGCAGATCCCGAATTGGCTTGATCACGGACACAACGACAACTTTATCCTGCACAAATAAATACAATTAAATTAATGTTGATAAATCTAAGGATCAGAACTTACCCTTTCAGTAATCTTGTCAACCTCGTGAGACAAGAAGTTTCCGTTACCATCAAAGTGGTGATCCTTAAACTGTCCTTTTCTTATGACTTTGTTCGGAATCTTTCCCTTTAAATCCATGAAGCATTTAAGCATTTGATTGTTCGACTTGCCATTAAACAAAATTTTTCCGGTATACACTAGATTAAAGGATGAATAGAAATTAGTAAATGGAAGTAAGCTTGAAAAAAAAAATTGGATTAAATTAAATCGCAGGATTAAAACAAAAAGTATTACTTACATTCGTAAATAGTGCATCCGCAAGACCACATATCGATTCCAAAATCATATGAAAGTCCCAATATGATTTCAGGTGCCCTATAGAACCGACTAACTAAATACGGCGTAATTTCATTATCAGTTATCAGACTTGCAGAACCAAAATCACAAAGTTTCAAAACTAAATTACTATCATTTACCAAAATGTTATCAGGCTTAATATCTGCATGCAGAATATTACACTTCTTTAGTAGCTTCAGAGCAAGCAAAAGTTGTTGGGTGTAGCTTCTCACCGCCTTTATGTGAAGTCCAACATTTTTGCCATATTTCTTCAGCACTTCTCGAAGATTCATACTTAGCGGTTCCATTACCATACACAAATGTTGTCTGTGATAAAAGTGCCTGTACATTCGCATGCAATGATATCTGTCTTCTGGATCTGCGTCGTTTAATTTCTTCAAAAATTCTAATTCCCGAAGTCCCGTCTTGTGCCTGTTAAATAATGAATTTCAACGGATTTTAGAATTTTAAAAAATGAAGTTCAAAAAATTTAAATATCAAAAATTCGTTAAGAACTTACATCAACTCGCGATTTCTGATGATTTTGATGGCGACATTAACATTTCCTCTAGCCTGATCTTTTGCGCGAACGACGTTGCTGAAAACTCCTTGACCAGTAAATCCACTTACAATATAACGATTATCGAGATTTTCTGAAATTCTAACTCGATAATATCCTTCAGCATCATCCCAATTATCAGTTAAAGCTGGATTGTCACTAGCACTCTGCTTATTAGCCACAATTGTGCTTGGAGAATCGAAATTAGAGTCTAAATCTTGCTCAGCAAACATATCCCAATCTCCTCTTTTCGTCTCCTTTTCTTTAGTTTTTGCTGCTTTTTCCTTAATCGAATCATCCTGTTCCTTTAACTTATTATTTAAATCCTCAATTGGTGGTGTTAGTGATATTTCTGGTGTGTCTGCCTTCGATTCTACTTCCTTCATTTTCGGAGAAACAAGGAAAATCTGTTCATCTTCCTCAATTTCTGTCTTTAAAACTGGCGTTGATCCAACAGACTGAATTGTATTACTGTCCTCACTTGCTGCTCCAAATTTCTTAAGTAATTCCTCGCGTTGCTTCCTTCTTTTCTCAATAATAGCTTCCTCATCCTCTTCATCGTCGTCTAATTTTATATCGGGAATTTCACTGTCACTGCTACTTGAATTCTTATCATGTTTTAATCCTTCACTTAATGAATCTTTAAATTTGTCGCAATCATTTTTGCCTCGACGTCTTTCCTTATCTCTGGCCTCAAAGTAACGTCTCGTGTCTCTATCTCTTTCAAAATCTCTGCCTCTATCTCTGTCACGTGAAAATCGTCTATCACGTCTGTCTCTATTGTTGTACATGTCACGTCTATCTGGAGATCTACGATTTCTATCATATTCATTATACCTTTTTGATCCATCCATTTCTCTACTTCTGGATCTTCTTCGTTGACGTCTTTGGACATCGTTTCTTTTATCTTTACGTTCCATATCCTTTTCACGATCAATTTCTCGGCGTAAATCCTCTTTATAACGATTATCGTTGTCACGTCTACGTCTGTCATCATTTCTCTTTCTGTCATCTAAGCGTGATGGTGACGATTCTCGTTTTTGAGACTCTTTAATTGTTATCTTTTCAACTGAACTTTTTCGTTGATATTTAGTCGGTTCCTTTTTATTGTTATCTGGCGATGAATCCAACAATATAACGTCATCATTACGCTCAATTTTTTTAGTTTTATTAAACTGAATTTGTCCTTTAAAGACCAATTTTGGTGTTGTTGATTCCTCCTTATTATTTGTGTCTTCATTCTCTGAAACTGTATTTTCTAATGCCATCTGTAAAAGTGCTTTTTGGCGCATCAACTCGTCCAAATTCATATCATCGTCATCATTCTCAATTACAGCAACATCAGGACTCTCGCAGTCTTCCTCAATCACTCTGTTAATTAAATTAAATAATTAGTTTGTGGAGGGGCTAGACAATTGCACCGAAAAATAATAAAAGTCCTCAACACTAGAGGATAATAAACCCGAAAAATAAAAAAATCACGATGGGACAATAAGGTAAAATTTTAATTTTTCAAGTGGTCTTAATATTTTCACTGCAAGAGAATAAGTTCCCTCATTTTTCGATATTTGGTTCTTCATTCTTCGAAGTCGGAAAAATAATTTGTTTACATTTTGAATTAAAATCTATTACACTAATTTAAACTTTATTTCGTGTGTTTTAGTTTTTTAAATGGTTTTAAAATTACTAGACATCTAATAATGGTATTAGAGCAATTTTGACAAACTCATTAAAAAGTGCGTGAAATTTAAAATTTCTGAAAGAATACCGGAAAAATTTTCATTTTCTTGTACTATAAGTCCTAGATTTGAGTAGATTTGAATAGTATTTTTTGGAACAAAACACCTACTCAAATCAAGGACCCCAGTATTGAAAAATATGTTTTCTTTCTGTCATTTCATTCTAAGCTTCAATCCTTTTTGTAAAATTTCAATATGGTGTAATACAAAATGGTGATTTCTTTGTTTATTCAAACAATTCAAACCAAAGTATGAGTTTTAAATTCAAATTGAAACTTTTTAAGATTGTCAGTTAAAATTAAACTGAGAAAACGACAAAATCTACGATTAAACAAAATCTTCCATTAAAGAATTAAAAATTTTATAAAAATATCAAATTTTTCATTGTGTCCGTTCACTTATTACGTTCGCATTTTAAGGGGGAGGTGGGTTTGAAAAATTGTAACCAAATGTAACATAGGGGGGGGGGGGGGGGGGGTGTCAAGAAGTATGTAACGTTCTAACTGTTGTCTGTCTTTTAAAAAAAAGTTCACGAAAAAATTTACACCAAAAACATTTTTTTAAATTTTCAACCTTTTTAATGATTTATGAATGTCCAAATCACTTTTGATAGCTTATCAATACATAGTTTTTGCTATATAAAGTAACAAATCAATAGAAAACTGGTTTACAAGACTTTAAAATACAATCATAATCTGTCGAAATTTTAAGTTTAACAGTAAATCTCTCTAAATCTGTCATTCATATGATGATTAATATGATCCCATCATTGTGATATTTACATTCAAAGTTGATTGAATTTTCCAAAATTCGATCGGGCATAATATTTTTCATGACATTTTTGAATTTTCTTCAAAAAAAAAAACAAATTTTTGCTTTATATCTCAATTCAATAATTCATGAGAATACTATTAGTATCAATCAAAACATGACCTATTTAGCTGTACAGTATTTTGATGTTTAAGAAAAAAAAAATACAAAAGAAATTTAAGTCTTTTTAGATTTAAAAGAAATATTGAATTTTTTTGATATTTGTGTTTTGGCGCCAAAATTTTTCTATAAATTGATAATAACTTAAAACAAATTTGGGAAATATGAATAAAGGAAAAACGGTCAGGGGGGGGGGGGAGGGGGGGGGGGGGGGGTTGTGAGTTGTAACATATTGTAACATGGGGGGAGGGGGGTGAAAAAAGTTGTTTTTTTGCGTAACGTAATAAGTGAACGGCCCTATTCAGATTTCAAAAGATTTTCATAGAGGCAATGTCAAAATAGCCAGTTGAAAAATTGATGATTGATTTCACTTAAATTACTTTATTATTCAAAATACTATTGTGATTTTCAAAAAAATAAGAGAAAAAGGAATCTAATAAGCTCAAAAGATAGCATAAAATCAATAATTAATGATCATTAAAATTTTTGAGTTTGTACACATTCAAAATGTGAATGTGATTTTAATTAAAATGCTTATGCTGTTAGAATCTTAAACGTTGCTTTTAAAGCGATAAATTCCATCAAATTAGTAAAAATATTTTTTTTTTCATCAAAATTATCTATTTTAATATCAAGATATATAGATGGGCTCATACAGAGTATACTTGACCATACTCGACCATACTATTTTTTGTGTACTTATACAAAAAAAATTTTTTAAAATTTTCTATTTTCAAGTTTTCATTTAAATATCGACAGATGCAACAACATTTGTCTTAAGTCAGTTTCTTTAAATTATAGCAAAGCATTTCCAATACTCCTGTATCAACAAAACTTAACAGAAAGTTGAAAATTTTGCAAAACAAAAATTAAAAATTTTCTTTTATAGTGTTAGTGTTTTTAGAAAATTCAAATTTTTGACGTTTAAAAACTGCGATATTTTTGTATGAGCACATCTATATATCTTGTTTAATATGTATCTTCGAACATGTTTATATTCTTCAACAATTAAATGTCAAAGAATTGGATTTTGACATTGCACTATAGGCAAAATTGAAAAAAAGGGACTTTCACTTCGAAAAGGCAATGTTTCGAATTGCGATCTCAAGTGGATTTTTTTCTTGTAGAGGACATAAAAACAGACTTCTATGCAAAATTTCAGGACATTTGGTGCTATTTTTGCGAATCTGTGGCTGTTTGAAGTTGAAAATGGGTGAAAAATCTGGTTTTTTCATGTCACATTAGAACTGGTAAATCTCCGCAATGGTTAGAGATATTGAAAAAAGTTTTCAGTTCCCAGATTTATAATATAAATATTTCTTAAACACACTCAAAATTAAGTAAAATGAAAAACTTTTTATGGTCGATTTTTTTTCTTTTTCATTACCTTTAATTTAAGATATCACACGGAAATAAGAAAGCAAGTTAAGAAAAACGTGGTAAAAATGGATTTGAAAATTAGGAGATATGGCTGATTTAATTTTTAATCAATTGGATTTATTTTCAATCCACCAGATTAAACACTATTTTCAATATATCTCGAAAACTAAGAAGATTTACGCAAATCGCATAAATTTCCGCCCTACTAGACCTTTGTAGCTTTCTATTGATATACATATCAATATGATTGATTTTGAGTTGCGAGCTGTAGGTTGAATGACAAAATTTAAATCATTTTTGATTTTGTAATGAATATAGGGAGGATTAAAATAAATTAGGGTTCGCCAAATTGACATGCAGATGCATGCACATGCAAAAACATGCGCATGTATATCTGAGAAAAAAATTTAAACTTCTAATTTTTGCTGGATTCGTTTCAATATGTCTCAATAATGACCATTTGGACACTTTTGATCGATTTGACACCAAATCTTGTGAGTAGAAGGTCAAATTAGAGGTGTGCTGATGTAGGAACCTGTCTTTTTAAGCAGTTTTAAAGCGAATTTCAACTTTTTTATCATATTTTTTATGAAATTTATGATAAACATGATAAAAGAAATAAAATTAAATAAAAAAAATTATTTTTGTAAAATTTGTTTAAAAAATTTACATGCAGTACATGCGCATGCATGCGAATGGGAAATTTGCATGAATGCGCATGTAGGCGAACCCTAAAATAAATCCATCGGATTAATATTTTAAATCGTTATATCTACGCAAATGTTGATGGAAGTGAGGCATGTTTAGTTTCGTTGGATAGGTCTTTTCAGGCCCTACATTACAAAAAATGTTTCATTCAATAATTTCTCAAAACAAGTGCAGCAAAACAATGTTAATTTAAGCCTACAAAAAAGCTAGTTTTTTCGCTCTACTGGATCAGGACTAGCACCAAAAATTATGATTTTGGTGTCAATTGATTTTTAAGAAGATTTTAAACATTTAAACATCATGCGAAGCGCCATAATTTCGCCCTACTAGACGACATGGGCTAAATTTTGACATATAAATCATTACTTTTGGATAAAACGGTGGACCTGTAGGTTGGGTGACAACATTTGACCGACATAAAGAAACACCTTCCGGGTTCCACAAGGAAGTTAATTTTATCCTCTAATGTTGTGGACTTATTATTTATCGGTGCAATTGACTACCATCGTTTGTGGATATAAGTTTATAATTATTTATTTACCCTTCACTGTCACTCGATACGACTGTTGTTGATTGTATTTTTGATGTCTCTATGGTTTTCTTAATAATATTTACAAGTTCGTCAGGATCTGTGGATATTAACTTTTGTCTCTTGCTTCTTGAATCGCCATTCTCATTGTTTTCGCGCTTTCCAACTAGTTTTGAGAAGATTTCTTTAGACTTTTTAATTTCACTGTCTGAAATATCATCGTCCAAATTGATTGTGGACACGACAGGGATTTTTGGAGGAGTTTGATGTTCACTGGATTCTGATGTATGACGATGCTTCTTTTTACGTTTTTCCTTCTTTGATTTTGATGATTTCTTGTGTTTTTCCTTCTTCTGTTTCTTTTTGTGCTTCTTTTCGGATCTGCTGGATTCTATGGCTTTTACTCCTTCCTCTGACCTAGATAAATATACAGTAAAGTTTATGATTTATTCAAAAAATGAACTTTTCATGTTCTGCACTAATCAAATGTAACTTAATCAACATCAATATCTCATTTATAATACAGATTGAATCACTAATGAATAATGTAATACGTAATTTTGCAAATCAAGCACATATCAATAAACGTTTATAAAGTTCCTGTAAATTTTTCTTTATTTTCACTATTTCACACTTAAAATTCTCATAGATACCTTCGATTCATTTTGTGGGCCTGTTATATTAGCTGCAATGTTATAAATTTACTATGAACAGCACTTAATTATAGTTTAAAAGAATTTGATGAATATTTAGAAAATTTTATGTTGTTAAACTGGATCACTCAGGGTATGCAGCTATGGATTTACCGTGTAACTCAGGAGTTCTCAAACTTTGTGTTGCGATGCACCTAAAATTATAGTTTTTGAATATAGTGACACTTTAAATCAATTCTACAACCTTATTGAAGGAAGTCATAAAACCCAAAAATAATTGCCAATCTTGACACTTAGTAATGCACAGCTTGAGAATCACTGAGTGCAACCTGTTCGAAAAATCATGACAAACTCTTTAATTCAAAACATCGGTGTTTTCGAAGAAACTTTTGAAAAGATAAAAATAATTAAATAATTCAGTAAATAGACAAGATGCCGCAAGATATTAAAGCTTTCTTTCACGAGTGGTGCTCAAAGAACAAAACTGATCCACAATTTGAGTGTAGACCAACCGGTAATTATCATTTTAAAGACATTGAAAATTTTTATTGATTTTTTTCCTCAAAATAAAAACATCCAGTAATAAAAAATATTTCTTATAGGACCTAAATTCCGTCAACGATTTCTTTGTGAAGTGCGTGTTGCTGGATTTCCATATGTTGGTGCTGGCAATTCTACGAGTAAAAAAGACGCTGAAAAGAATGCATCTCGAGATTTTGTCAATTTCTTAGTAAGATCAGGCAAAGTTAGTGAACATGAAGTACCTACAGACGAAGCGAATCCAGTTCCAGCTGCTACAAATGAACCATCACCATCTTTTGGAGCATCACAAAGTGGAAATCTATCAAATTTTCAACCGACTCAACTTGGTCAAGCTTACAGACCATACAATCAGTTTAATGATAATCAAGACAATTTCGGTCCACAGTCTTACATGGACAGAGCCAAGGAACAAGCTCGTATGGAAGAAGCTGAAAGCTTAGATGTTAATGCTGGGTAATATCAATGATTTTCATGATATTTCTGTTTGTTAACAATTTTATGTCCAATATTTTAGCATTCACGGAAACTGGACGATTGAAAATGCCAAATCTAAGCTCAATCAATTCATGCAAGCAAACAAAATCCAAGGAGAATTCAAATATAGCGCAATCGGACCTGATCATAACAGGTGACTAGTCATTAATAATTAACTAGCATGTTTCTAGATATTTTCAATATTTTCCAAGAATTTTATTTGGAATGTGTGAGAAAGTATTAATTAAAGTTTAAAGTGATGAAACTGGGATATCTCAATTTTTGTTATATTATGAGTTGGACATTCCTTACTGTATTTGTAAAGCTGTTTAAGATATATTTGTTGGACATACGATTCTTAAGACAACTTTGCTGGATCAAAAGTTTTCTTGTGAATTACTTTAGAATAATATAAAAATTTAAATAAATGGCAAATACAGATAGGAATAATCGTTTTTATTTGATGATTAACAGAGATATCCAACGTTTCATCCTTTGATGGTTGACAGAGTCTGTAAGTAAATGATTGATAAATTGATGAATGTCAACGAATTTCAAGAATTTGAAACTAGCAGTTTTTAAAATTTTTCCTCATATCTTATTCAAATTTTCAAAACCCGTTAAGCTTCAAATTTTCAAAATTCGTTTTTAAAATAGGCAATCGATTATTGATTTTAAGATAAAGTTTAACTTTTATTTGAATGCCAATTTTTAGGAGCTTCATGGCTGAAATGGTGATTTTCGTGAAACAACTAAGACGTAACGTTACAGGCAGAGAAAGTGGAAGTAACAAACAATCGGCAAGTAAATCTTGTGCTCTGTCAATTGTGAGACAATTGTTCCATTTGGGAGTAATTGAGGCTTTTAGTGGTACTTTGAAGAAACCAAAAAGTGAAGATAAACTTCCAAATTATCCTGTTAAAGTTGATCCACAACTAATTGATCGAGCACGAAATGTCATTATGGATTTGGGAATTAATCCAATTTGTGTTGATTCTAATTCCAATTCTGAGAATCCAGTCAGTTTAGTCATTCAGACACAAGAACCTGAAAGAAAACCTAAACTATTCATGTCTACAGCTTCTGTCATTACTTGGTCACCTCCAATTCAAAATTGGAACGCATGGAATTCCTCTAATATTGATGAAGGATATTTAGCAACAGCTAGTTTGGATCAATTAAGTGAAGATTTACTAGAAAATGCTCGAAATAAAAAGATTAATGATCGTGATTTAAGTGATCGTACAAAAGCTAGAGAAACATTGCCGATTCATGCAATGCGTCGACAAATTATGGAAGCTGTAAATGACAATTCTGTGGTTCTAATTCGTGGAAATACAGGTTGTGGTAAAACGACTCAAATTGCTCAATTTATTTTAGAAGATTTTGTCGCTGGAGGTGCTGGAGCTTACTGTAATATCGCAGTTACACAGCCAAGAAGAATCTCTGCTACATCTGTGGCTGAACGTATAGCTTTTGAGAGAAATGAAACACTCGGCGAATCTGTTGGATATTCCGTACGTTTTGAATCTATTCTCCCACGTCCTTACGGTTCTATTCTGTTCTGTACGATTGGAGTTTTATTAAGAAAATTGGAACAAGGTTTAAGAGGAGTTTCTCATGTCATTGTTGATGAAATTCACGAACGAGACGTAAATAGTGACTTTATTATGGTCGTTTTAAGAGATATGGTCTCAACATATCCAGATTTAAGAGTCATTCTTATGTCTGCAACAATTGATACAACCATGTTTGGTGACTATTTTGGAAATTGCCCAGTCATTGAAGTTCCAGGACGTGCTTTTCCTGTTAAACAATATTTCCTTGAAGATGCTGTAGAATTAGTCAAGTTTGTGCCACCTCCAGATAATCGCAGAAAGCGTAAAGGTGGTGATGATGATGGATCAGAAGAAGTAATTAATGCTGAAGATCAGGACGAGACAAATTGCAATAAAATAGTTCCTGACAACTATTCTCAACAAACTAAATCTACTTTAGCTGCATTGTCTGAATCTGAAGTCAGCTTTGAGCTTGTTGAAGCTATTTTAATTTATATTAAGAACATGCGATTGGACGGTGCTGTTCTAATCTTTCTTCCAGGATGGAACTTAATTTTTGCTTTAATGAAGTTCTTGCAAAATAATCCTAAATTTTCAAGCTCTGAATACACAATTTTGCCATTACATTCTCAATTACCCCGTGAAGATCAACGACGAGTCTTTGAAAGAGTTCCTCAAGGAAACACTAAAATCATTTTGAGTACGAATATTGCTGAAACATCTATTACAATCGATGACATCGTCTTTGTCATTGACATTTGTAAGGCACGAATGAAATTATTCACAAGTCACAACAATTTAACGTCTTATGCCACAGTTTGGGCTAGTAGAACTAATTTGGAACAGAGAAAAGGTCGTGCTGGACGTGTTCGTCCTGGAGTATGTTTCACTTTATGCTCACGATCTCGATTTGAGCGATTGGATGAATGTCAGACTCCTGAAATGTTTAGGTACGATTTAGCATATATTTCTTATTTAAAATTTCCAGAAATTCTAAACTCGACATAATTTGAATTTGAAAATGATCGTTAAATTCTTAATATTTATTTTTTAGAACTCCACTGCATGAAATCGCCTTGAGTATCAAGTTGTTAAGACTTGGCGCTATTGGACAGTTCTTGTCAAAAGCTATTGAACCTCCACCTCTTGATGCTGTCATTGAAGCTGAAGTTTTATTAAGAGAAATGAAATGTTTAGATGAACATGATGAATTGACACCTTTAGGACGTATTCTTGCTCGTTTACCTATTGAGCCTCGTTTAGGCAGAATGATGATTATTGCCAATATATTCTTGGTAGGTGACACTGTCGGTTTAATGGCTGCATATTCTGGAACATTCAGTGAAATATTCGCATTAGATATGGGTCAAAGAAGATTGGCGAATCACCAAAAGAATTTAGCAGGAAATAAATGCTCTGATTATGTAGCCATGACAAATGCAACTCAACAATGGCTTGCAGCGAGAAATCGTGGTGAAGATGAAGAAAAGAGATTTTGTGAATGGAAAGGCGTTCAATTGCCAACAATGCGTGTAATTTGGGAAGCAAAGCGTCAATTACTTGACTTGTTGAATCAGGCTGGATTTCCAGAAGAAACAATGTTGACAATGAAAATCGACCCAAATGTACAGGATCCAAATCTCGATCTGATTCTTGGACTTTTATGTATTGGACTCTATCCAAATGTCTGCTATCATAAGGAAAAGAGAAAGGTTTTGACAACAGAGTCTAAAGCTGCATTAATCCATAAAACATCAGTAAATTGCTCAAATCTTAAAGTTACATTCCAATATCCATTCTTTGTATTTGGTGAAAAGATTCGTACACGAGCAGTTTCATGCAAGCAAATGAGCATGGTCTCTCCTATTCATTTAATCCTTTTTGGATCAAAGAAAGTTGATTTTGTCGAAGGAGTTGTTCGTCTTGATAATTGGCTTAATTTTGAAATGGATCCTAACGATGCGGCTATAATTTGTGCATTAAAGAATGTCCTTGACGAAATTTTATTAATAGCTGTTCAGCAGCCTGATGAAGTCTTGAATCTTGACGAGAAACATATGAAAGCAATTGGTGTTATTAAAAGTCTGTCAGAGATGAATGCTGGAGATTATCAAATAACTCGTGAGACTGGATTGTCAACAGATCGTGAAAGTAACTTTGGAAGATCATATGGTAGTGGACCTTCTGGATTTGGAGGTGGAAAATTCCAAAAAACTGAAGGATTTGGTGGCAGTGGATTTAATAGAGGTTCAGGAGGATATAATCGAGGTGGGGGATTTAATAATAGAGGGGGTGGATTTAATAATCGAGGGGGTGGGTTTAATAATCGTCGTGGATTTGGATTTAATTAAGTAATTGACAACAAGAATTTTATTTGTAACATTTTTAAAACTATCAAAAAATGAAGAACTTGAAAAAATAACGGCAAAAAAGTATTCAAATCTTTTGTTTTTAAATTTCCAGCTGATTTGTGTGAATACACAGTGTTTAATTGTGTTGGTGTTAGACACAAATACATTCACAAATGACGGTTATTTTAACGTGAAAAAATAATAATAACATTAAGTTTAATATTTATTAAACAGGATATTAAGGAAGTAAAAAGGTGAATAAGTGAAAAAGAGACAAAATGGAACAAAGAGTTGTTGAAGAACAGGTTGATAAACTTAAATTAGTGGAGAATATTGCAGAAAAGCTACCACCAAGTCTGTTGATATGTCCATTCTGCGCTGAAGAGTATTTATTTGATTTTACGATTAAAACACATTTAATAAAAGAGCATATTGAGGAAATTATGGAGCTTGATAAATGGCCTGTTCAGCATTATTTTTGTCCTTTCTGTGATGCTATGGTTTATTATAAGTCAATTCTTCCTAAGCACATTGCATTTAGTCATTCAAAAAAGGCACTGGATGAATGGTTCTCAATTAATGACAACTTACAGAAATTTCAAATTGACAAGGAAAATCAACTGGAACCAAGTATTAAGTTTGCAGACTGTTCACCTGGATTATCAACATTCTTTAATGAATTAGACACTTGCGAGAGTATTAAGAAGTTTAAGAGAAATGACAATAGTGTTGTTAACACACCAAAATCGATACTTAAGAAGACACCACATTCTGGTAAAATAGTAATTTTATCGCCCGAATCTGTAGCTTTAAGACGTACTATTAATAACTTAAAAAGAACGGCAAGTGCTCGAAGAGAACTTCGATTCGATTTACCACCAATTTCGCCTGAATTTAAGCCACAAGAGACGCTTCCAATGCTTGACATTAATTCTACACCGACGAAAAAGAATTCTGGATTCTGGAGCTTCCTTAAAAATAGATCTAAAAGTCCTCCACCGATTAATGGAAAAATTAAGAAGAAAATCCGAAAAAAGTCTTGCAAATTATCAAATCGTTCAGCAAATTCCATAATAACCAGTACACCAATGTCTCTAGACTTTGATGGATATGAATCTGACGGATGTGATGAGCTAGAAAACTCAATTGGAGGAAACTGGAAGTCAGCAATGAAGACGAGTGATTTTAAACCACTATTCCTATCTGCTGAACGTTATCAATGCAATTTATGTAAAAACAAGTTTGATTCCAATTGCGAGCTACTTACTCATCAAAAAGAGAAGCACAAATGGATAAATCTCAAGCCTAATTTTCGTTGTGGATCTTGCGGAGCGAAATTCTTTCGGAACAGTCTACTTGTTAAGCATTGTCATCATCACCAACAAAACACACCCATTAAGCATTAATTTTTTCATATACTATATATCAGGTAATGTGACACTTGACGTAACTAGAAGAATAATTAAGTCTGATAATATAAATCATTTCAGGCTATTAAAGACATTCATTTTGGAAATGAAAACACTCTGACAACAGTCGATTAAAGGTCTTGATCGATCAAGCTTTGAACTACAGAAGATGCACAAAATTTTATTCTTTTCATCATCCTTATTTAAATTCATTTAATTTATACACACACTCATGAAAATTAGATTATTGTCCCTTTTATTTACATATATATAATATTGATGGCATAAAAACAATAAAAGCTTAATTAAGGACATGGCTATCACAAAAATTTTACAAAAAATCGGTAAAAATTCACAAACGCGTTATTTCTGTTTTAGTTGGAATGTAACGAGTTGGATTATTACGAGTAAGATTTGAGTAGTATCCTTGATATGATTGATTTACATTATTAAAATTATTGGCCGCATTATTACAGGCAGCACAATTTGATGAGATCACGGGCTTTGGTGATCGCTGTGTTGTAGTTGTTGATGCTGTACGAGGCTGTGCAAGGCATTCACAGCTTTCGTCATATTGAGCGTTATTAATGAGATTCTCTGTTGATTTTGTCGTAATTATTGTAGTTTTTGTGATCGTCTCTTCCTGTAAAAATGCTTGAGGAGCTGGCACATAATTTTCAATTTCTGTGTACGCAGAATAACGACCGTAAGGTGCTTGATTGGATTTTCTCGAAATTATGACATGACCTTGTGGGATTTGTTGCTGCTGTTGCTGTCCCTTATTATTCGTCGATGCTTGATAATTCATATATGCATTATTATTTATGCCACTTGCATAATTTCCAGTGCCGCCAGTTTTACCTAAATTATCCCACGATTTAGGCTTTGAATTATTGTATTGAGGTGGAATATACGCATGAGTTGTGGTAATAGAATTTTGAATTGGCTGCACTTGACTAGGGTGAACGTAACGATGATGAATGTATGAATGATTTGGTGCTGTAGACGTAGTTTGATATACCGAAGTCGGACGTGGCTTAAAAGCACTTTGTCGATTACATGTTGTTCCTGTGTCACTCTTTGGATCCCACAATGTATCATTGCTTAATGAACTCGTATAGCCTGGATTTTCTACAGCATTTCTATGACAATGATCACTTGAATTACATGAATGAAGACTGCATTGGCTAGCAAGTTGTGAACTTATGTCATAATTGTTTGCGTGATGCTCCTATACAGGAATAATTACAAATAAATAAAGATAATTTGAGAATGTCCAAAAAACTAGCTACTTACATGCTTCACATTATCAAAATGCATTGGGTTCTCAACTTGTGTTGAAGCATGAGATTGAGAACGAGGTCTAGGCGGTCGTTCCTTATCACGATGCTTATGTTTATGATGATGTTCCTTATGATGCCTTGAGCGACGTTTGACTGGCACACAGTTTGCCTCACAACAAGGACTAGCCAGGTCGTAAGCATCTAGACTAGTATTGTCTTTATCATTGCCTTTGTCATTTGCTTTATCATTCCCACGTCTTATCAGATGGCCCATGCATGGATTACAGCTATGAATTGCATGGCAATGCCGTCGACTTTTCGAAGACTTTTGTTGTGGCTGATGATCAGAAGCGTTATGCATATTTGTATATTCTAAGGATGATGAATCTTGTACATGATGGTGATGATGATGCTGTGGCTGATTGGTAGTTCGCTGCAAGGGACTCTGTTGATTTGATAAGCTTGAATAAGAATTATTTTCATTTGATGATATGAAATAGTTGTTATGCGAACGTGGTAGCGAGGATGATGACGTATTTGATACAAGATATTCACCACTACTATTTGGTGTTGATGATTTTATGATGTGCTTATGATAAGGATCTAAATACTAAATTGAAAAATATTAAGTAGCCTTTAGCATACATTATACTCAATTTACTCTGTCCACACACCCTAATCAACTATATGACAATCTCTGTGACTAAATTAAAATTAATGTATGGCTTGATGAACATACCTGATAAGCTAAAATGAATTGTGCAGGTGGCGGAATAATTTGATGCTGTTGCTTTGAAAGTTTAGCGACATCTTCAGTCGACAGAGGTCGTGTGTATGGCAGTGTAGTTGATTCATGATCAGAAGGCGATATTTGAGTATCGTTGACATTATCAGTAGCTTTCTTTCGAGCAGGCAGCGAATGTGTCTTCCATTTTCCATCAACAATTTCCTTTTCTTTCATCACAATACCCTCAAGCTCAGCCATCTTATTTTGTAAAATTTCTTGTAGCTGAATATATCTCATATGAAGCTCAACCTTTCTTACACAATTCTCAAACAGAACAACCATTCGCATACGACTATCACAGTGTTTAATGAAATTGACTAGTGTTTTATGATCAGCATTTTCCATATCAGTTCCATTTATTGACAATATAACATCACCCTCACGCATTCCAGACTTATAAGCTGGCCCATCATACTCTACATGATCAACATACGTAATCATTTCCACTTCTCTCTCCTTTTGATAATGAATTCCATAACTTTGAAGTGTAAATCCATAACTACCTTTCTTCTTCTCAACAATTATCGTACGACGCCTTCTATCCTCATCAATCGAGGTCGATGCTATCATTCGATCCGATTTAACGCGCTCCAATATTTGCGTTTGTGGCTGTAAAATAAAGGAGTAAACTAATTAAAATTTATATCGATTGGATTTTCTTCATTGAGGATTATTTGAATGTGTAGTCTATTGGAAATTTTGGATTCGTAGACTTCTTCTTTGCTAGAGTCGTTAGAGTTTCTGTAATAGTTGTTCATTTATGATGTGAATCGTGAGCGGGATTTCTTAACAGTTTTTGACTATTCCATCTAAAGTGTTAAACATCAAAACCTCTTGACTACGTCTTTCTAGTATAGTAGACGGTATCTAAGGCTACACAAAGCACCTAACCCAGTCCCCAGTAAATATTCACTAATACTCTAATAGTGATTTCTTTAATTTTCTATTCTAAGGCAATTTTGTCCTATGGAGCATCAGAAACCTAGTATTTGGTAAGAGGCTCCTCACCCGTAATTATTGGACTGCATAACTGAACAACAACCTTCAATTTAAAATTGGAAAAAGAAAAGTATAATCAGTAGCCAATTTTCAACCCTCATTTTTAATTCAATAAAATCCACTCCATCCCCCATTTTTGTATTCAGTCACCCCCTTTTTTTTTGAACATGCTCTTCTAATACCTGACAACATTTTTATAACAACTCCATCCATTAAATATAAAGAAGGAGTTGGAGTAAGAAGTACTAATTGTGAAAAGGAAATTTTAATACCATTAAATTGAGATGAAAAGACCTTGAACCAAAGAATGGATATGAAGTGACGCATTTAAGCCTTTCCGAAAACTCATTAAAAATTTATTAGAAAATCTGAAAAGAGAATTTTTTTTTCAAATTCAATCCTATAGCTAACGAAATGTGGCATTAATTATGAATTACTTCCACACAGATGTGAATTTTGAATAAAACAATTGGTTCATAGAGAAAGACAAACAGTTGTGGGGATTATTAATAGGAAAATGTAGCTAGAAATATTAAATTTTTACCCTAATTTGCCTTCTCATTTTTTTCCATTAAGTATTTTGCTTTAAGACGAATGAAAATAGAAATGAAAGTACATAAATTATAATGAACATGATGATTACAGTGATGTGCTGCCTAGGGAAATGTTCTTTATGCTGCATATAGAATAAAGCTCTCTTGGCCTTTTGTATGCTATAATCCAGTATAAACAAGCAAATGGGGATCACTTAGCTTAACAGCCTGACATGAAAAGCTTTAAAAGCTTTTAATTATGAAACATTTTTTGAAAAGATACAGGTGCACATATGGATATGAGGTAAGCATTTCAATGGGACAAAAGATTTCTTTACAATTAAGTTTTTCATTAAATCAAAAGCTTTTAAAATTCTTTGATATGTTCTAGAAGTTCCACAAACCTAAATTTACACCACAAAGAAACATTTTAAAAAAATCATAAGACTTCCCCCACCCATCCATCCATTATTCTGCTCTACTTCCCCAGCATAAATTCTTATTTATTGTGGGAAATTTTTCTCTTTTTATGTTCCTTCATGTAAAACGTGATGCGTAATCAACTACATATCCTTTCTGAACAGCCTTTGCAAGCACATATACACACATTGTGTAAGTCAATGAAATTGAGAAATTAAGTTTTTGCTTCGGGATTAAATGAAACCTCTATCCATATTAAGAGGGTAAAAGTTCTCATATGAGAACCAGACACATGTACATTGTCTGTTAATCTTAATTGATTTCCTTTTTTTCTTCGTACAGTTTTTATTCTATTTTATTTTAATCTAGGTAAGCAATTGTAGTGCAATAATTTCAACAGTTTATCTCAGTTTGTGTGTTGTGCATTAGGTTACATAGTTTTGAGTCAAAGGTTATGTTATTGCTGAATTTAGAGTTTTGTAGTGGTTTGAAACAGTTTAAAATTAAAATTGTAGGATTTTTTTCTTCAATTTTAAAATGTTCAGCAAAAATTTCATTTTCAATCAAATAATGGAAAAACAAGACGTTTTTGGGTAAGTAGAACCAAATCAAATACTTAAATTATTAAATTACAATACATTAAGTTCTCACACCAGAAACAAATCGTTTAAAATTAAGGAAACCTTTTAATTCCATTCGAAAAATAGACAAAGTTGTAAATTTCTCAAAATCACACCTTTAAAAGATTTTATTAAACACTAAAAGCGCTATAAAGCCAATCATAGAATTATAATCAAATTGAATCGTAAAGAAATCTCCTAATATATTCATGTCTGCAAGACATCTAGTAACAAATTTGAATGTTTACACTTTGTATTACATCCTTGCCTTGTATGGATGATGGAAGAGAAAATCCTATCATCATTTTTGTTGATTGTAATTTAATTCAACCTGCTCTTCGCAACGGAAATAGACATAAATATGTTTACTGGATGATTTATGCGCAACCCTTATTTATATCATAATAACGCTATAAAAATTTTTTTTATGTCATTCGATATGACTCTTATTAAAGGAAGAACATTTTCTTTAAAGTCATATTATTCACAGATGATTGAATTGCTCAGAAATCATATCCTCATACATAAAAATTCAAGTGCGTCCCATTCTTTCGTTTTCATTTATCCCAATGATTTATGTCAAAAAAGAAGCGAAAATGAGTGATGAAAAGGGAAGTTGAGGGAAAAAAATCAATAATCAAAAAAGTGCACTTTTTTACTCTGCCATAAAATCATTCACTCGTTATACTTCACATCCTTGATGATACACATTCCTCCTTCCACTGCTGTGTGAAAAAAAAAATACAGAGAAAGGAAATTTTTACGATTCTGCGGATATTATTATGTACAATACATGCTCGTTTATCTCTGTTCACTTTTTTGATATGAAAATCATATGAGGGGAGAGCATATGGCTAGATTGGAAAACGAATATATTTTATTTTAATGTACCTTTAATATCTCAAACCTCTCGAAATGTCATTGCCATGTATATTCACAACCCAGCAATGAAATGCGCTTTATTATGCTGTTACTGTGGTAATGAAATCATTTTCCTCTGAGAATTCTCCCTTTTCTCGTTATGATTAATCACTTGATTTAGTTATTCTCTCTTTTTGTATTGTTTTACGTTAATGAAGGACTTTTTTGTGTCATGGATATACAAAATGAAAAGGAAAAGAAATTAGGACAGAGTATTTTATTCGCCTACATTAATAAAAGATTCCGTCTTTATTTATGGAATAATAAAACTTCTTCTTTCGGCATTAACACAGACATGGTAGCATTATTAATTAACATAGTTTTCTCATTCTAACATTGTAATCAGTTTTTCTGGTATATGAACTTATGATTTATGAAGATGTAAAAACGGGAAAAATGATGACTTAATAATACGTCATAAACGGGATACGTCAAAAAATACACAATGCGTAGTTGAGGCACACAAAAAAAACCATGACGCTTTTGGGAATATGATAAAAGAACCGGAATAACTTCTATAAAGAATTTAACGTCATAAATACCAACATCTGAAACCGAACGCAAGCTAATAATAGGTAACTCACTCCAAACAAAGTCAAAATGAGAATACCTTTTGAAGGAATAGCAGACAGGTGCAAGATACATTCATAGCCCATAACGTCGAAAAGGCACTTGTTTCGAAAATGTATATGCAAATTGAGGCTTCTGCTTTTACTCAGAAGTTCCTTTTTAGCAAATTTAACCTCCAACCCACTTATTAAATTGACTATTGATTTTTAAATTTCTTACACAAAAAGGCATTCCCAACCCTCTCGAAGGCTATTTTTTTCACATGACATGACAAATTAATTCACTTGACACAGGCCTTTTTTTTACAGTCAGGCATGTGCTAGAGTGAAGCCATTTAAATATTTTGTATGGGAATGCCTTTTTTTCAGCAACACTGCTGTGTAAAAGGATATTGATGTAATTTCCGGTATGTCTACGAATTAATATTTGATTTTATAAATCCTCCCCTAAATTCTTATTTGAGGAAACATGTTCGGATCTGCATATTAATTTTTTCCGTAGTTACATTACTTATTTATGACTAGATTATATAATAATAACAATATATTATCACTCCATAAGAGCTACTCACGAAGAGAGAAACTTGTTTCGAATTTCCACTCAGTAAAAGCCTTGAACTATAAAAAAAAACTTAACAGCAGTCTTTTGACAAGTTTTTGTATACAGAAATGCAAAACACAACAAACAAATTAGAAAATATTGACCATTGAGGAATTAACAGTCTTTAAGTGAGGATTGTCCTGATAAAAAATATTTAGTGTGTAGTTTAGAATAAGAAGAAATGACCTCTGTCAAGTGCAAGCTTAGTCGGAATCGTAAAATATCATCAATTTTGATGATAAGTAGGTTGAATAATTAAAAATATAATACAATTCAGTGCTAAAAGTATGCATAAAATAAACCTAATTATATTCTCATTACCAGTTTTTCTGTTTGTGGTCGTTGTTGCGAATTCAAAGGCGATTAATTATAACAATAAAGTACATTTATTGTGCAGTTATGACAAGCCAATTAGTGGATGTAGATTTAGTGTACCTGGTGATCTAAATGATATTCATTTATTTGACGATGTGCGAAATTTAGAAAGATATAAGTATGAATACTTTGGAAAAGGATTCAAAATTGGTGATTGTGGCATCACAATAAACAACGCTACAAGTGAGAATGAGGGACGCGCAATTTGTACACTGACAGTTAATAATAGCTTTGAGGTAGACGAAACGGTAGAAGTCAAAGTATTTGATTTCAATAATTTGCATATGGGCTTGCCAAAATTGAAAATACTAAATAGCGGTCCTCTGAAAGTAAGCCAAACGTTGGCGGCAGAATGTGTTATGAAGAGCACCGATCAATATTCAAAAATTTCATGGTTGCTAAATGATAAGCTTTTAAACAATTCAAATTCTTTAACAATCAAACGATTCGAGCGTGATAAAGGAACAGTTTTTGAATTAAAATCAATTTTGAAGCATCAACTTGACACACTTGATAACGGAAGCACTTTGAAGTGTCGAACAAGAGTTTCTAATTACTCTCAAGAGTTTGTGGATACAACACTAGATCTAGTGGTATTAAATGAGACAAGATTAATGGAGCCTAAAATTGGCTTACCATTTGACATTTCCATAAATGTTTTTGCCTTTCCACGCGTCCTCTCTTCAAGATGGAAAGTTAATAATCGTGTCATTTATTATGGAAAGTCAACGAATGAATTCATTTCGAGAGAACTTAAATATCTTGGCAAAAACGAATGGAATGCTGTTTTACATATTATAAATATCACAGATCTAAATATTCAATATAACTACACACTTCAAGTCAATGATTCGGATGGCACTAAATACTATAATGTACGTCTCGATCAATCAATTAATGAAGCAAATTATCCGAATGATGAAAGTAATAATGAAAGCACACAACCGCAGGAGGAGGAAACAACAATTTCATTAAAGTCTCTGAATATAAGTGAAAATTCTATAACATCATCACCAAAATTGAATTTTACAAAGCAGCAACAACTTCAGCAACAAAAAGAAGAAAAATCAAACACGTTTAGACGAACAACGACCAGATATTACCATTATAATAACAATACTATATCACAACCATTTACCACAGAAAGAAGAACAAAAAATACTCGAAAGCAACAGAAAAATACATCTATATCGATAACAGATATGACAAGTGTCTCTTCTACTACTACCTCCACCACTATGACAACAACTGAATCGAGTATTATTGTTGTTATGACAAAGGCATATACAAATGAGACTGAGGGAAAAATGACAACAGAAACTGCTGTCGATGAAAATTCATTTAAATATGAAGAAACAACTGTACAATTCAATAATAATGATGAGGAGATTGAAACAAAGGAATTCAATACGACAACAAGTAAAAATTTAATTGAAATTATCGCAATAGATAACTCAAATGACCTAAAACGATTTGAGACAACGATTGAAAGATTCTTCATTAGAGTAAGTTTCGTGACAATGGTTCTAATTATTGTAATATTTCTCTTACTGCTGTGTCATTATCGACATCAAGTGACTTTGTTAAAAACTGAAATTATTCAAATGAACTTGGAAAATTATTACAATCAATCTTGCCTGTATCCATTGACATTTAACGACTATTCATCAACAAATTTTCAACAGAATGATGGCGTGCCATTTTATATTAAAAGGCCGCTAAATGTTAATCATAACACTCCTAATAGCAGTAGCGGAGATTCTGACATAAGCAGTAGTCAATTCTTGTGTACATATAATACGAACAGTCATCTATATCAAAGTATAGACGCAGATGATATCGATAATCATGTCTATGACGAGATCATTCAGACGAAAGAAAATGATGTGGGAAAACCGAATAATTATGAGAATAATGAATCATTTAATAGTAAGTGAAGCGACACAATATCATCTGTGACTGATTATCATTCATTAATAATTATTATTATATTATATAATTTTAGATATTAATGAAATGTTAATTCCATCACATTGTCATACTCTCATGACCATTCATGAGGAGGAGGAAGAGCTTGAAGCTAGTCATATCCAAATATTATCAAAGTTGGAGTCAACTTACATTTAAGGAATTGTTGTATATTTTTTATTCTTTATTTGATTTTAAAGAATGAGAAAATTGTTGTAAGCAAAAACTTATCTGAGCTGTGAGATTAGGGAAAAATCATGAAGCTATCAAACATGAAATATTGACACAAGAGACGAATTGCTATAATTGATTTTTTTTTGTTGTATATGAGTCTAAAATAGACGCAATTTGAGAATGTATATGCGTATGTATACGTCTGAGCCTTAAGGCGACAGACTGAATGACTTTTCAATTGATTTTTTTTTATTCTACAGAATCTTCTTTCTCTTCCATCTCGATTATTCTCATTTCAAGCAAATAAATACAAGTACAATTGTGGATTTCCATGAGATATATTATATTTATCCACATTTTAAATATTTTTCAATTCCATCTTCGTCTTCGTTTTTTGTGTCTGTACCAAGAAGGATCGCATTATTTCGTTAAATCTGAACTTGAAATTAGCATTATTCAGAGGGTAGAAATTTAAATTGAGACGGCTAAATGAGAATTTCGCCTGTGTTTTCGAGAAAACGCACTGCCGTGTAAATGAATTATAGATTTACATTTCTTAATAAAAAAAAAAAACTTTTGTAGATGAAGAAGAAAAATTATTTAATTCAATTTAATCTAAATTGGGGGTTTATTATCGGATAAGATTGCTTCTCAATGAAACTTTTTGTTTATGATACCAGGAAATTTTACTTAAGTGCTTAAAGCATGCGATGACAGCAAAGCTTTTGAATATAAGCACTTGAATAAAGCTTTAGGAACAGTCGAGTGTATTTACAGATCAGTAAGTAAGCTTGAAGTGAGGGATAAATCTAAGCATCTCTGTTAGAAGCTCAGAAGTAAAGCTGTTTTAGTGATAAAAAAAAGTTATGGTTCAGAGTAGATTAAGGCTTCTCCTGATAGCCTCTCGATTGGAACATTAGTCATAATATCATAAATTAATAACTAGATGTATAGTCGACTGATAACGAATTTTACAAAACGTTCAAAATTGTCTATCCAGGTTATTAACTTGACTTCAATTTGTATCATAGTTGGAATAGAAAGATAAGTTTGTTACACCATTCTTGGTTAGAATTCGCAATAAATAATGCTTCCAAGAGCTCTAAAAGCTTCTTGGTGCAGAACAGTGATGAAAGAATGTCAGTTTAATATGCAGACAGAGAATTTGTACAAACTAAGTTCTAGAGCTAGCAACTGAGTTACATGGAGAGCTTTTTGTTGTAGCAGAAGAAGAATCAGGTCCTTTAAAGAATCAGGACATTAAACCCCTAAATTTATAGAATAGATTTCAATGTAAATATACTTACAGGAGGTGCCTCCAGTTCATCATCGCTGAATACGTGACGGTTCGGAAATTTCTTCTTTCGTTCAGCCATATTTTTAGACCGTAAATTAATCTGATACACTTAAAAATTTTCTCATAGATTTCTTACACAAAATTTAATAGGATCATTTTTTACTTTTCGTTATTTCCTTTTGCTACACTTCAATTTTTTTTTTCTTCGCTTTTTATACTTCCTTTAGACACGATGTACAATGGATAGAAGAAATTACAAAAAGGAAGGAAAAAATTTCCATTTTCATCTTTTGCTCTCTTTTTTCTTTTAACTTTAACGAAACAGAAGCAAGTAAAGTTTATGTATATATGTGATGTAGACAAGAGATTACTTTAAAAAGTTCATTGAAAGTTTGTATAAACTTTTTGTTGGATTATTTTAAGCAAGTTTTCTCATTTTCACTGCGTGTATCATTCATATTATGTTTTAGATTCCTTGTTAGAAGTTGTTCTTGTGGAAATGTAGTCGACCTGCAAAATAGAGAAAAGAAAAAAAAAGGGAACTTTAGTTTATCAAATAAAAAAATAAGAAGAAAAGAGCTTGCGTACACTTTCCACTAATATGATCAATAAAAGCTTTTTCAAAATATTCACAATGACAAAGTTAACTTTAAAGCTCAACTCAGGCTTTTGAAGAAGTTCTTTAGTTTTGAAAGTTTTTTAAAAAGTTAAATTTTGAAGATTTTTCTTCATATTATTAGAAGTTCTTTTAACCGACAGCACTGCCGTTCTGTACGAGTCGAGAGTTAAAGAGAAACTGAATTTTCACAGACAAAGGGAAAATGATTTTTTTTTTGTTGAGGAAAATCCAAACGCAGTCGAGAGAAAAGTTTTATGCTCCTCTCTTCTTCTTTCTCTCTGTTATGCGCACAAAAGCTCTCCAACAGCTGATATGTATCTTTTGTTCTCAATTTATATTTTGAACGTGCCAAATAAGTAGGTAGGATGTAGATGCAGGTATAATAAGAAACATTTCGTTCAATGCCACAGACAAAGAGTAAAACGGGAGAAATGTAAATCAGGAACGGAAAGAAAAGCAACAAAGGCTCCTTTTTTTTGCTTTTAAATCACAAGAAATGTTTTATTCATCGTGAACTACTCAAGAATTAATGTGTGTGACACAAAAAAAATATATATCGGCAATGGTACAACTTTTTCGCTTATTTTTCTTGCTCCGTATGAATTTCCTTTATATTAAATTTTTCATTTTATTTATGCTTCAAAATCATGAAAGAAACATTCATTTTAAAAGCATTTCAAGACATCGAGAAATTATGACATAAAGACAAAAGAAAGGAAGACTGTAAAGCAGAGTTGTAAACTAGAGTATCTGTAATTGATTAGCTATGGAACTGCTAACAGTGATGTTGCCTAGTTAAAAGCACACTTTTATTCTATGTTGATGATATAGGATCGCATCTTCCTTGTTCTGAATATTTGGTATGTTCAAATTACATTAGTAATTTCATCTAATCATAGTCACAATTTAATAAGTATCTTGAGCATGAATGATTTACACCACAAATATGTCAACTCTGCGTCAAAACACATATAATAAAAAAATATAAAATTTCTCTCACTTGAGATTATTGGAAAACTTTTGCTGTTGTTTCTAAATAAATTTTGTAGCGGCTGCAGAAATCACAAAAAGAAAACTTTTGGTACCATAAAATATTGAAACTAAAGCTATTATTGAGACTGAGATAGATGTATAGATAAATGATATGAGTTTTATTCGATTTCTTGTTGAATACGGGAAAAAGGAAGTAAGAAACTTTCAGATCATCGATTCACAATGTCATTCATAACCAATCAAGAAATGTATGAGATATAAATACATATTCTTCTCGCAAATTTATGGATTGGAATAATGATGGATTATTATGGTGTTAAATTTCACACGTATTGTCTTCTAAATCGATTGTTCCGAGCTGCATATGATCAGTTGTGACATGTCGAATTATCAATGACTTAAAACCATGGGACGGATCAAGTATAAAGGTTAAATAATGTCCTAAGATAACATTCGATTGTTAGAGAAATTATGGGAGGGCTAATTTGGCATGACTAATGTGGGAACTAATAAGAAAGATTAGCTCTCAAGTACGGAATTCGGTAATTAATAAACCTTTAAGGGTCAGAGGGCAGCTGTCGTAATTTTTAATACCAATTAACTGCTAAAGCGCGACAAATCGTTTTTAGAAAATAATTCCAATGTTAAAGCTATTCGTGTGATTCATTCAATATTTAAACATAAACACTCACTGCGGTGGAACTTGAAGATTTTTTTTATGTTTTGCATTAATTTGTCTCGAAAAGTTGACAAGGAAGCAAGTCTTAAATGTTAAAATAAGGTCGCTGGAAATTCCTTTGACATTTTAAACGCGTGATTTAAAGAAAATGTTTTGAATTTCTTAAAGTTTAAAGAACTAAGATAATTAATCGATATAAAGTTAAATAAGGATCGTCTAATTATGATGACCAAAGGCGAAAGGAGATAGGAGAAGAAACTTCTAAGAATTATATTATTTATCTCGAACCTTTTAAAGCTTTGCTTAATCTTGAATAAGTATTTCATTTTAGTGCAAAAGAAGTTGATATCATTGACAAATACACTTGGTTTGTCTTAATATCATAAAGATACAATGTCATTAGATCTGAAAGATCTCAAAATTAGCACTCTTTTGTCCCATAATCCTTCAGAATCAGAATAATAAAAACAATCGGAAGTTTCTGAAAAATCTGACAAATTATATAAAACTGAGTGTTCTCAAGACTTAATGCCACTTTATTCAGACTATTCAAAAGTCTCAATTAGAATTTTTCTTCGATTTTGTTTGCTTTGAAGTTTTAATTCAAAAATTCGTGAGCCAGTTTTCAAACTTTGAACCAACAAAGTTTGATTTGAAGTTGATTAGATTAATTCAATTCTGAAGGAATTATTGGTGTTAAACATCTAGACAGGGGTGTAGCTAGGAATTTGAAGAGGGGGGGACAATTTTCTTTTGTATGAAAAACTTTTAGGGGAGGGGGGGAGTTTTTCGAGTTTTTCAAAAAAACTCTAGCAAAATGAAGAAATTTCTCAAGACGAAGGGGGATTTGTCCCCCAAATGAACTACCAAATTATATCCAATATTTTATTATCTCTATTAAAAGTTATCATATCTTATTTCATAAATGTAATTACATTAGTTTTGAGTGCACTCTCTAGAAACAATAAGAATACGACTTTATACTTGACATGTATGAAGTTTCCATGTAACTTAATTTTTTCTAGTGCCATTCCACAATCGAATTTGTAAATTTTCTAAGAATTATTCATCCAAACAACGAAATTCTAACAATTTGTCACCTTGTTTTATCTCAATTCCACTTAAAAGAATCAAACGAATGACAAAATCACACTCCGTGTAAAACTAAAGGGAACTTTTTATCTTGTGATTCATAGCATGTGATAATTCATTTCGGAAGAAGAATTCTGCACAAAATTTGCCTTTATCAATCACAACATTTTTCTCCATACTTCCTCGCATTTCTCGTTTTTTTGGCATTGAAACGAGGAAGGAAGCTGCGAAAGAAATTTTTTTTCCATCTTTTTTGTCTTAACGACAAAAAAATGTTCGTTTGACGTGCTTACAAGATCGAAATGTTTAAGCATTTTGAAGATTATGTCAAACAGCAAGAAAAGAAATATGGAAATGAGATGGAAGTAATACCTGTTTGTCAATGTGATCAGCACTCACAGATTAATTTAGGCGTAAGCGTTTTAGTGTATTCTTACCCAAACAAGTGTGGATTCTGTGTTTATCATATTTTATATATTTTGTTTTTATTTTACGTTTCATCCATTATAATATCCACATTCATAAACTCGTTAGACGACCTTCAACGCATACAGTTAAAGTAAAAGAAAATCTTTCAGTCAAAATATTTTGCATTTTTTTCCGTTTTTAGTCGTATTCGATCAAGATGATGCTACAGACGTATTTTGTTTATATTAAGCTATTTTTTGTGTTGTTTGGTAAGCATTTGCATAAATTCTTTCTCGTTGAGTCGTTAAGAATTTTGAGTGTTATTTTTGTTGTTTAATCGCAGTCCATGTAAAGGCGCAATCAAATCAAAGCGTGAATTTAGTGGTTGCTAATCCGTATTTTGTTGCTATTGAAGAAGGACAGAATGTGACAATCGTGTGTAGGGCTATTAGTCCAATTACATCATGTGTATTTACATTAGCTGGAGTAGAAAATCCAATAATACTCCGTGAAAATGATACAGAGGTGCGTAGTAATAATTACGAGTACGCTGGCGATGGATTTGAAAGTGGACAGTGTGGAATTACAATACATGGAATTAAGAAAGAAAATAATGGAAAAGCATTTTGTATTGTTGATTTAAATCAACACTTGAGAGATATTAAGGCAGACATACCAATAACAATTACGAAAGAGCTTCCAATCGGTAATAACAGCTTTTAATTAAAATTCATTTTATTTTTCGTTTCTCAATCCTTTATTATTGTTTCTTTTAATTTTAAGACAATAAAACGAGAACGATCTGGGGTATTATATTGTTTACAGTACTCACAGTCATATTCAATATAGTGCTATTGTATTGCTACATAAGAGGACAGAAATCAGCAAAAAAGACTAAGAGAGCATTATCACAAAGCCACATAAATCCTGCCGCAGCAAACATAACAGCATCAGAACAAAATGATGTAGAAAAGCAACAATCAGTAGCTTCGAGTTCGTCAGCGAATCAGCCAGTAGAGAATAAGTGAAATTTTCGTTAACTATCATATTATTTGCCATGTTCTATAAATAATATCTGCTTTAATCGAAAACAAACATTTGTACATTATTAATATTAATCTACTGTTATTAAAGTCATGGTACTCTAAAATGTAAACGTCAATTGTGTCTTCAAATAATAATAATTTGTGTCATTGAAATGTGCACAGTTGTAATATTTTCATAGCTCAAACGAGCGAGTATCTCTTAATGCTTATTGCTGCTGTTTGTGGGAAACGTGAAATATTTTTTATTGAAAATTATCATATTTAGTTTGTTTTAAAAATAAACTGACAATTTCAATAGTTTTTAAGATGATATTGAGGAAAGAAGCATTAAAGTCTTACATAATAAAATACTCAGTTGAAATGCTATCCATTCATTAACATATGTGTACATTACGATTTACTACCCATAGAGATGAAGATTCTTTATCATTCATCCATTTCATTTATGTTGACCTAAATTATATTTTCATTTTATGCTTTCATCATCCAGAAATAGAACATCTCATTTCGAAAAAAAAGCCTTTAAGGCAATATTAAATTCTACTCATATCCGAACCAGAACATGCCAATGGTTATTTTTCTAACCCTCGCTTGCTGCTACTTGGATCTATATCAACCACAACATGTCTAATTTAGATAACGTCAATAAAATGCTTTCTACTCTTCATTTAAAAAACGATTTATAATTTCCAAGAGTTCTTTAAAATCCAATTATGAGAAGCCCGGTTCCATGATTAAATTTTAATTTATGAAATTTTCCGTAATCTATCGAAAGCAACGCAGACAATAAACGATAAAAATAGCAACATTTTCATTCTCAATTTTCCCTCATAATTTTTTTTTTTTTCGTTTTTATGCTCACACTGTGTGGTAAATGAAATTTTATGCGCTTGCATCACTTGAGACATCATCTTGTTATGAAAGAAAATTTCTCTCCAACTCTCATTAAGGGCCATATCTCAAAATTATTCATTAGGTGTGTATATCTACAACAAGTTTTATAACTTTATCTAAATGCATGCACACTTGTCTTTGTTGTACCGAACAGCTATCTCTTTGATATATGTCGGTAAGTCTTGTGGCAATTTGACATGCTGATAATTAAAATTTTAAAAGATTAATCCTTTAACGATTGACTAAAATTTAAAATTAATTAAACCTTACAACAGCTAATTTTTGAATGCAAAAAAGCCGTTAAATTTCTCAATTTTAATATTAATTCAACTTAAAAATTTATAAACACAGAACAACATCCAAATACATCTTCAGTCTACAAAATTCTCTTTCAAAATATTAATTCTCTCTTTAATTTCTTCACTTCTTGCAATAAAAATAGCTTTAAGTATGTCCTATATAAAGCGGTGAAATTATGTCAATGAAAATGCGTGCTTAACACAGATGCAAAGTTATTCTGTCACTTGCATTATACACCTTATTTCTCTCAATGTCGCTAGCTAAATGCTTATGATGTATTATGATATATACAAAGTTCAACGGCCGTGTGACAAACTTTTCAAGTGTACTCTGTAACTTAGTAATAAATTAAATTTAAACTTTTTGTGCTGTTTTAGGCTTTTATTTTGTTTATAGAAACGGAGTGTAGTAAATAAGAAGCTATAAAAAGAGAGCACTTGTACACGTGACTGTAAGAAATTGAATACTAATATAAGGAACAAGGCTTTAAATTGTAGAATATCACGAACAGTAGTTTTTTATGTCTGTAGGGAAAACAGTGAGTAATCAATAAGCAGTTTTCATGTGAAAATGGAATTGAAAGTGAAGAAAAAGTTTCATTCATTAATGTTAAAAAGTAGCTAATTGATATTTTCATCCACGCAGTTACTATGCAGCATAGTTTCATTCATAAGGTTGAGTTCTTAAATGACGCTTGGTAAGAGGCGAGTTTCTCGGTTATGCTCCTACTCCTACTGCTAGTGTTTACAATAGGGTCTAGGTAGATGAGAAGGAAGATGTTGGTGCATTCTGAGAAACTAGCTCTTAATTAGAATCTTTTTTAATTTGCTCGGGAAATAACTTCCAAAAAGTTTTCCATTCATTCAAAGAAAAGTCGAATCTTTTTAAATAAATTCTGAACACACTCGTGACGTCATTCGAAATTTAAATATTTTAGACACCCCCCCCCCCCCCCCCTACTCCTTTTTTGCTTAATAATTTCCAGACAAAAATCAATGTTTTTAATAAAGCTTCAGACCCCCTTTAACAGGGTCATATCTTGCGCTATCCCTTACAAAAATTAGTCATGATTTACGAACGACTCCCAAACCAATAACGCCAATATTTATTCAGTTGGTTTGATTTTATTTAATAATATGTGAATACCTGTATTAAGAAATGAGACCAGACAAAAAATATCATTTCAGAGGGCACGTACGGCAGTCAATTCATTCATAGGCTTAACATACAAACCCAAGCCAAAACGGTAGTTGACAAACGGAAGTGAAAATGCATATAACAAAATCAATAAATATAAATTTTTTGTTGCGAATATGTATGCAATGACATAGCTATAAATTTTTTATGCAAAAAAAAAGAAAGATATTTTCTCATACACATCTGATGCATCTCTAATTTCGTGTATATATCAGATTACCTCAGACTTCGTGGGAAATGCTTTGAATTTATTTTCAAATATAATATCGTAATTTGTTCTCTTACATTAGACATTAATATGTGTACGGAAACAGCACATATCGTAAATACTTGTGTGATGAAATTGAGAGTTAAATGAAAAAGGCAAGAGCAAGAGATGTGACACGATAATTGTTCAATGTTAATTTAAAAACGTGTTTATCTAACTTACCACAAAAGATTATTCCTCTTTCTTTACCGGCTCTCGTTTTCTGTTGCTTTTGGTAGTAAATTCCTTTATCTGACTCTCTCTCGTCCGTAATCTTCTTTTTATACAAAACTTTTATTAATGCTGATAATGTTATGGTCAGCTTAAAAAAACTATATGCACATGTATCGATCGATTATTTGCCTGCTTTTCGTTTCTTTTCGGTTCTTTTTTCGTTCCTTTACAAATGTGTAAAGTGCTAATTAAATATAACTGCTTGAATCAATTGATATTTCCCAAAGTTACTAGTGTGTTGAAAATTTAACAACAGATAGCAATTAGTGAATATATTAATGCTTTGATCAGCGATCTATAGCCAGCCAATTCAATGTCAAACACTTTTCGCACAACTTGCAATTAACTTTTAATTACTGTAACAGATTTTTATGAATGATTCATACATTGTTGCACTTTGCACTTTCGTTAGATTTATTCGATAAAGGCTTGTCAAATTAATATTAATATTAATTCGTCAACAGTTGTCGAACTTTTACTTATTGACTTATTATGACAACGAACGGAAAAAAATCAACCACACTGCTCGCCAATTCTCTTTAAACTAAATCATGTGTAATGTATACAACCTCGACTTCTATTTAAATGAGTTTTCTTTTCTCTCTTTTTTAGCATTTTCATTCTCGCGACTTGCGCAAAAATCCGTGCTTATTGCATGAACTTTTTTTTTCGAGTTATTTCGTATCCTTTATGTTATCCTTCTTTAGCAAATTCTGTGTGGATTTATTGCCTTTTAAAATTTAAAAGAATAAAATTTTGAATGAAAAGTTTTTAAATTTTAAAATGTCACATGGTCATCAAACTTCAATTACCTTCCTATTTTTGAAAAGGAAGATGCTGGGTTATAAGTCCAGAGGTTATAAGTCCAGAGATTATAAGTCCAGGTACAAAAATCGTGCACAGAAAATTATAAGTCCAGAAAATCAAAGTCAATAAAGGTTTATAAGTCCAGATACAAATTGCACCTGGACTTAAAAACCTCACGTGCAGTTTATAAGTCCTGGTACAGATACAGCTGGAATTATAAACTGCACGTAAGGTTTTTAAGTCCAGGTGCAATTTGTATCTGGACTTATAAACCTTTATTGACTTTGATTTTCTGGACTTATAATCTCTGGACTTATAGTTTCTGGACTTATAACCCAGCATCGAAAAGGAAATTGATGCTGCAAAGTTTATGGATTACAGAATTTAAAACTTTATCAAAAACATAATTTTTAAAAAACACCTCTTACTTTAATAGCTTGTGGGAACTTCATTCAGGAAATCTTTGATCCTTAATGCTTTTCTCATTTGAATCAGTCGCAAAATCTTTGAATCCAATTTGTGATTCTTCAACCCATTTAAGTTTCTCACCCTTGTTCATACAAAAGTCTTTTAACATGTTATATAAAAATCAGGTTGTGCCGCTAATAGAAATTATTAAGAAACATTGATGTTCAATGAAATCTTTACTTATTGTAACCTCTGAAAATGCACCGTCTGGAATGAACAGTTTTTTTTTCTACTTTGCTCTATATCCAGTATAGAGGATTTATTATCATCAAAAAAAATGATTGAAAACTCAACTAGAACATTTCATTTTAAAGAAAACTTAGTCTTTATTTGGGTTACAATGATAATTAATTAATGCAAAAGAATAAGGAGGAGATGAAATGAAAGATGTTACGAGAGACACAAGTTATCATTTAATTAATTATTATTTACACTCAACATTCATTAGCATCAATGGATGTTAGACATTTCTTTATCTTTGCAATCATTTCCGTTTTTATTTCGTCTGGAATCTTTTGACGAGCTTTTGGTGTCACTTTATCAACGAGACTATCTACTGATATTAATCCATTTGCCTTATTTATTTCCTCTCTACACATAAGTCGTACTAAATCTGTCCAGCCGCTTTCATGTAATGATTTAATTAAGTAATCCTTCAAAACTGGACGTTCTCCTTTCAAAACTGTCATTTGATCCACTACTCGCTTTGTATCTGATGAGTTTCTTGGAAGCCTGTACAGTTATTAATTTATTAGTAATTGTTTTAATTAATTAAAGCTCTTTGTTCCTTACATTTTTAATTATTTTTTAATTTTATAAGTTTTGAAGAACCTTCTTTATTTTTTTTCACGATGTAAACAAAAGTACGGTGTAGCTTCATGCCCCGAAAAAAAAGGTTGTCAACAAAAAAAACCGCAAAACATTCACAAGCTTTAAAGTATTTAATTTATTCTTGTTAATTCGAATATTATGGCTCAATCAAATCCACCAACTAATCCATCAACCTTACTTCCATTAGGTAAGCATTAAAAACTATTGAAAATCTGTGAATTTAAGTGTTTTTAAACGTTTTCTGTATCTTTTAGAATTGGTTGATAAATGTATTGGATCCAGAATTCATATATTAATGAAAAATGATAAGGAAATGACTGGAACACTGCTTGGATTTGACGATTTCGTGAATATGTTACTCGAGGATGTCACAGAAATTGAGAATACTGCAGAAGGAAAGCGAGTAACAAAATTAGATCAAATTCTACTTAATGGAAATAACATCACAATGCTTGTTCCTGGCGGTTGTGAGATTCCTGAATAAACAGTTTATATCCAAAATTTAACGTATGTGTTATAATCTGATTTTTCTAATATTAAAAGCCGCAAAAATAAAGATTAATAATAAAGCCAGTTCCTTTCCAATATCCATGGCAAATAATTTAATCAGGAGAATGAATTGAACCTTATGAAATTACTTTTTTAACGACTTTCTAAAATTCAAACGTTAAACTGAAATGAAATGAAGTTAAAAACGATTACTGAACGAATTTTAAATTTCAAAAAATCATATAATTTTTTAATCCGATGGATTTAATGATTAATCTGCTGGATTAACTTTCGTTCAATTTCAAATCTTCAGCAAAGTAGGAAACAAAAAGCACAACAGCGAGCTTTCAGAGCAAAGAAGTGCTTCATGATAATTATACTGATAACAAAACAGATGATTAGAATCAAAAAAATGGGTTTGGCTTTATTTTATTTTATCAATTTGATTAGCCAATGAAATTGTGGATACAAAAGCGAATTTTCTACAACCAAAATTGGTTTAATTTTTAATAATTTTTGAACATTGAGATTATGTGATAAATCCTTAACTTTAAGACTTATTAAATAGGCATTAGCTGGTAATATGATAAGAATCTTATTTGTAAATTGCAAATGTGAATGTGGTTATTTTAGAAACTTCCCTGAAACACAATCTGTACAGAGTATTTATCATTCAGATGTTCTTAATCTATTTTTAGAAACCACATAAAAAAAATCTTCACACGTTTTATAATTAAAAGTTCAAGATAAGAAGTATGTATTTATCAGTTCCTTTGAAAAATACAAGAAAATTTAAATATTATTATCCAAAAACATATTTAATGCGCCAAATGATTATCAATATTAATGTAATGAAGATGGCTGCTTTCAAAACATAAATTAAAGTCAGTCATGCATTCAAGTCAGTTAGAGGAACATAGACTACAGACATAAGCGTCTTCTTCTTAATCTCTCCATCCATTGACTTGTCATATTGCTCCATTTGTTGCGTATCTCCAGCAGGTCCAACGGGAACTATCATTCTTCCGCCAGGTTTTAATTGTTCCAATAATTTATCAGGAACTTCTGCAGCAGCAGCACCGACATGAATAGCATCATATTGAGCATATTCAGGACATCCTAATCGTCCATCGCCTTGAATAATTTTAATTTTACCTGTTGATAGGAACTTTGGGTCATCAGAGTTTAAGTTTCCAATAGAAAATTCTACAAGCTTTGGATGATGCTCTATGCCAACTACAAAACCAGTTCCTTCGGGTGATGATGCTTGAAGATAACGTGCAAAACACATTGTTAAAAATCCTGAGCCAGATCCAACATCTAAAATTCTACAATCGGGTCTTTCCAAGTACTTTGATAGATTGTCGAGTGCAAAGCAATGCATATGAGGTGCTGAAATAGTGGCTGAATAGCCGATTGAGTGAGGTCTATCAACATAAGGGTACGCTACACGGCAATATAGCTTCCGATCCGTCTGTTTCATTACATTTGCAATGATTTCTGTCTTAATAATGCCATGTTCTGAAATATAGAAATTAAGCATGAAGTAAATCAATGACTTTTTGACATTTTATCGATTACTTTAACGATTTTACTGGATGTTATTAGAAGAAAAATTAGACTTGTTTATATTTTCATTAAAAATAGAAATGAAATATACCTTGTAACTGCTCGATTAAGCCTTCGTTAGTGCCAGCGGTCATTGATCGCCAAGCCATTAAACTGAGTCTAGATGCTTTTAAGAATACCCTGATATTTTTGCGTGTTAAATCAATTTTGAAAGAATTTAAAGACCGAAGATTATATTTATTATGATTTTTGATGGCAGGGCTTGTTCCTTCCAGTATTGTTTTGTGCCAATAACAGGGTTAAGTATTGATAGGGCTGTGCATGAAGTAGAAAAGTTGAAAAAAATTTTAGTGTCTTTAAAAAATAAATTTATTAAAGGAAAATTGGCAATAGCTTAGTTAAATTATGTCGAATCTCAGTTTTATTGATCTTTTTCATCTACTATGCTGCCCACCATGTAAGTTACTTGCGAATTATTAAGCTAATTATGTTTTTATGACTCATTGTTTATTTTTCCACATAATTTTTCATCAATTTAGGTCCATCCCAAATTACTCAGGTACATCCAGTACATCAATTTCTTATTATTATTGTGTTATTAATGAATGTTTATTCAATTTACAGAAAATGGCATTTTTGCCTCCAAAAGTCACGTACGATTTAAAAGAAGTGGAAGAAAATGGTGAATCAGGAACGACAAGCAAGGACAAATCAGATAAAGAGAAAAAATATGAGTTTGTATTCATGCCCGAGTATGCTGAGAATGGTTTGGATGAGAAATTCATTAAGGAATACTTTGATGGATTTTATACGAAAACAAAGAAAGGGAACAAAATTGCTTGCCTTCATATACGATCTCCAAAAGTAGCAAAGTTTACATTCTTGTTTTCTCATGGCAATGCTGCAGACCTCGGAATGTTAACCGCATTTTATTGTCGATTGGTGCATCAATTGAATATTAATATATTTAGTTATGACTATTCTGGATATGGGAGATCGAGTGGTACGGCATCTGAAAAGAATCTTTATTCTGATATTGAGGCTGCTTGGCACGTTCTATTAAAGCGCTATGATTTAAAACGTGAAAGTGTCATATTGTATGGACAGAGTATTGGAACTGCCTGTGCTGTCGATTTGGCAACAAAATACGAAACTGCTGGCGTGATTTTACACAGTCCTTTAATGTCTGGTATAAGACTTTTATTTCCTGTCAAGAGGACATGGATTTGTGATGCATTTCCCATTATTGATAAGGTTTCAAAAATTAAAAGCCCAACTCTTGTGATTCATGGCACGCACGATGAGATCATCAATTTTTCGCACGGTCTGCAGATTTACGATCAACTTCAAAATGCCGTTGAACCATTATGGATTAAAGGCGTAAGTTATGACACACATTATGAGTATTACTGCGAGTATGACTATAAATTAAATTACTAATAATTTTGTAGGCACATCACAATGACATTGAGCAGTATAAGGCATACTTTGAGAGACTCCTGAACTTCATGAATAGTGACTTAAGTAGTAATAAATGACATGAGGAGAAAGGGAGCGAACGAATAAAGCTCCGCACCAAAGATCTTCAAGATGATTTTGATGAAATAAAGTCAAGTGACGATATCGATATATCCTTAACAGTCAGCAAGTCATCAATAACATCCGAAGATAATAATGTAAAGTTAGAGACAAATGAGCCTCCAAATCAAACCTAGCAGAAAATTAATAATGATGTACCTAAAAAGACTAAGCCAACGACGACGACAACAACATACTGTATTTGTAATTCCGCCCATAAAACTCGATTCTCTGGTGGTTATCTCGCGACTCCTTACACTGATGTGATTGAAATTAGTTTAAAATTTGAGAAAATTTTTGATGAATCTTTTTCTGTTAATAATATTAAGCATAAGAGTAATAATGATGATCCAGCATTTGAGAGATGTAATTTAAATTTCGTAGAATTAAGTGACAAGACACTTAAAGATTTATACAACAATGAACTTGTGCATGATTGTGTACGAGAGCTACTGAGTAGTATGATAATGAAGAAAAGGTTAGAGACTTACAATACCTCACAAGATGCTAACGAAACACCATTAATAATGACAACAGATGTAACCATTCACCAATCAGCAATACTTAATAATAATAATAATACAAATGATGACACAATGGATAATAATAATGAGTTGAAAGTCATGCAAAGGAACTCATCGAAAAGATCATCAATGAAATCATGTAAATCGATGGAAACGGTACTTGAAAAAATAACAAGTCGTCCTAAAGATAAGAGTCCTGACGAAACAAAAGCAAAGTCTGTTGGAAATATCAATGACGATGACGAGGATGGTGTGGAGGATTTAGAGAATGGAGAATCCATTGAATTAATATTCATTTCGGACGAGTTTGTAAATCGAGTTCAAAAACAAGAACAAGAAGTCATTATTGTCGACGAAAAGGACGGCAAGAGACGTAACAGTTTGACAAATAAAAAGAAGATTGTCATCATTACGGATCAATATAAAGAAAAAGTATTAAGAAATAATTCCATTGTTCTTACGAACGAAAATAAGAAAAAGATGCTCAAAAGAAGAAGCTCCAAAAAAGCTAAAACTTATAATACAAATTCAAACTGCTTTTTGCCCTACGACGAGGATGAAAGGTATGAGCATTTTGAAATTAAAAAGCTAGATAATGTAGACGTTGAGAGGAGGGATCGATCACCAAATTAAATGTGAATTCTCAGCACTGATTAAGAATTTTTCAAATATTTACTTAAACATTTATTAATTTAAAGAATTATTAATGTATTTATTCTATGTACTTTTTTCGATTAACACGGCAACAGCAACAACAATATATTATATTAATAAAAATTTCATTGTATGTATAAAGAACAAAGACTTACTTTTAACTTTGAAAATCTGAGGAATAACTGTCAAATGAGATTTGAATTGACGAAAATATTCAGCACAAAAGTAACGGTAACAAAACATTCAAAATACAACGAGGATTTTTCGAGAAAAATTAATCTCTAAAAGTTTCACTGCATTTAAGAAATTTATTTTACTCCTTCAATTCACTTTAATACTTTATACAATCAATCTAAAATGGTAAGTAACATCGATATCTACTAGAAACACATGAAGTCATTGCTGGATTTAATGAATTTACACGATAAATTTCATAATCATATAACTCCATTTCACGGCAAAGGTTATATTACACAAATACCCTCTTATCTCTTCCAGTCTGGTGCAATTAAGAGATTAGTTCCATTAATGGATAGAATCCTCGTCCAAAGAGCTGAGGCATTGACAAAGACTGCTGGAGGAATTGTAATTCCAGAGAAGGCACAATCAAAGGTCTTAAGAGCCACAGTTATTGCTTGCGGTCCAGGAGCCAGAAATCAGGTAAGTTCCTCTTTAATTTACTCATTGTCATGCATTATAAGGTGTTAAAAACTTTTATTTTTAAATCATCCAGAAAGGAGAATACATCAAGATGGGAGTCTCTGTAGGAGATCAAGTCCTCTTGCCTGAATATGGTGGTACCAAAGTCGAGCTTGAAGATCAAAAGGAATATCATTTATTCAAAGAAGGCGATATCCTCGCGAAAATAGAATAAACAGCATAGAAAGCTCTAGAATAATCACGTACATTTTAAAGTTAAGAAATAAAATTAATAATGGATTGAGAGAAATACAGATTGCTAGAATCAATGCCAATTCCTGCCTGTAACAGACCATTGCAAAGCATCTCTCATGAATACTTTTTTACTAATTAAAATCATGTTGGAGAAATATCCTTTGTAATGGTCCATAATGGCATAGATTTGTACCAATCATGATTGTAATCTTAAGTATGTCTTGACTGACAAAAATTCCTTTAATAAAAAGAAGAAAAGCCAAAAAAACAGTCTTATTTGTCATCTAAATATGACCTCTAAAGTGTTGTCGATAAAAAATTACTGTAAACAACTCTGCTTGTGAAAATGTGTAACAATTTTGCTTCATTTCAGCCCAACATGTTCCTGTCAACCATATTCAAACCTTGAGATTTATTTTAATTCGCCATTTTAATCTCAAGATTAATTTTAATCCAGCATTTAATTAAATCTTAAGACTTAAACGCAACTTGCATAAATCCACTCGATACCCAAAATGTGAATCATGTCATGCAACTATTCGTTCAAAAAGGCATCGAAAGAGCTGAAGTACATATCTACATAAACGATATCTTTTTATGATAGTCTGTTCAATCAGGCATGCAAATGAAATATGTAAACGGATAGCCAATTGTATGCTGACTGACGAACGTCATGTTATGTTCCATTTCGTGATGAAAAATTGCCTTGAAGCCTACAAAGTCAATTCACATACATCAATTGGAATCGAGATAATCGATAAAGAATTATTGCCAGAAATTTAGGCAGTAGGAAAGGTTGAAGGATATTAATGGGAGGCTCTTAGAAAAAGGGAAAGTTCAATGCACTATTTCAGCATTTTCTATTTCTATGTATTATCGAACTGTAGAGAAAGAAAGAGTTTGATTGATATGTGACTTTTTTAAGGCATTCTATCCACAAAAAAAGCAGAGCTTCAAGATTAAGATAAAATGAACATCCATGCAAATTTATTTAACATTTAAAACAATAATAAAATAAAATTAGTAGTTAATCGATGCCTGCAGCCTTAATCTTTGCCATCTGATTCTTAAATTCCTTCACAGCATAAGTCATCTTTTCAATACACTTTAATGAAACCTTTTGTTTGTGGACTTCCTTGAAGATCTCATCAATTATTAATCCGTAGTGAGTCATTTGTGAAATTGGATCGAAGCTGTATGGGAATTGGTATTTTTGTTCAGCATAAGTCATTAAATGAGTATAGAAGTTATTGCGCTTTAATATTGACTCCTTTTCGATAGTAGAATGCAGTATGTATGGATAGAAAGTGCCATTTTTGCAAAGACTAGCTAATTTCTTAGCAAAGTTTAAGATTTGTATTGTTACATCTGATGTTTTGTCGTTAACACATGCCTCAATGAATGGCTGGAAGTCCTTAATATGCATTTCGTAGATCGACTTAACATTTCCAAAAACTGATGTAATTAAAGCCTTTCTTTCATCCTCAGCCATAAAACGAGCCTCAAATTCCAACTCATAAATGTAAGAATCAATTATCTTTTTCATCCAATCAGTGTATTCCTTATCTTTTGTTAAAATGGTTTGAAAAAGATCCAGAAGATCAGAATTTTGTTGCTCATTATTTTTCTCAAAAGAAGGTATTAATTTCCTCGAACTAAGCGGCGTTTCTACTGTTAAACGATTACGCAATGCTTTATCAGTACACTTTGCTATGTTTTCCTCATATTTTGACGATAATATCTTTACTTTTGGATTATCGCCACACTGTAATTGAAACAGAGTCGGTGAATTGAATTTATCAATGGTTTTCGATGGAGTTAACAGCATATTTTGGGTCCTTTTGATGCCTTCCTGCTTCTTCTTTTTCGGTAAGTTCACCCTTGTATAAAACCACGACAACATTCTTAATTAAATTAAACTTTGATTTTAACCACAAATTTATAAACACAAAAATAATTTTCCCGTTATGTTTATTCATGAATTCAAAAAAGATTTAACCGTTAATTTTTCAAATTTAATTTAAACGTTACAAAACCCAAAAAAAAGATTCTCTCACGTTCCATACACCTATTAATTTTAATAAACATTCATCGACTCGTAGAGCACTATAACATCAACACATTTGCGCATGTAAAGCGTTGAGTTTAAAAGAAAATGTTTTTGAGCTTTAGTATTGTCAGTATAGCTTCAACTGTTGAATAATCTAAAGGTAAAAAAAGTTAATTCGCATTTTATTTTATTTCATTTCTGTTTTTGTGAATTTACAATTCGGAATAAATCATTCGAATGTGGTGCATAAATACACACGTGAACGAAAAGTGTAAAAAAAATAATAAAAAAATTTATGAAAAGTGACGTAGTAAGAAGTCATTGAGACTAAAGAATTTATCATTGACATAGGGAATATACGATTTCTGTAATTGCCCTCATTTTTCAACCTTACACCTGTCATAAACAAACCCGATAGTGCTTATCGATAAGTTTCAAGTTCATTGTGTACTCAAGTCATTAAATTTGATGCATTTTTGGAGATTTCTTAAACCAAACAATTAAGGTTTTTTGCAATGCTTGTAATTTCCGTATATTTTAAAGTTGTTTAAATATTAATTTTTGCTTCGTTTGCCAAAACAGAATTAATAAAATAAATAAAATTAATTATTACGCTCACATCAGAGGCATTACCATGAAAAGTCAATAAAAAAAATCCCGTCCAAAAAATGCAAATCTTGTAAAATAAAAAAAGTTCGGATTCATTCCAAAACGTGTATATGACATCAACATTATTTCCCTGAACACGACGTCGATTTCACAGAAGAAATAATTGAAAATATTTTCTTGATATCACATCCTCAAGTGATTACTAATCAATTAACAAATTCTTTTTAGTACCTTCGATGTGAATAAATTTACAATAAAAAGTAGCAAAAATGAAAAGACTAATAAGGAATAAGAGAAACATTTATGTGCCGTCATGGAACCGAATAGCACTTGTGTGTCTATTCTCATTACAAATCATTAAAACTGTATCAACACAAAGTACAAAAGAAAATATAATTCTTGAAGAAGATGTAAGACAAATAAGAGCTTTAGAGACGCAGGAAGCTCAGACGGATTCTGCCTTCGATTCATGTCCGATGTGCAATCTTAGTGAGGTGAGTAAAACTATTTTTCTTAGTAAATTGCAATGATTTCTCATCTCACAGTAATTTCCATTCATGAATGTTAATGAAGAACCGATTTATATGGTGTTGCGACAATTTTTCATGCATAACTCAGAGCTTTCAGACTTTTTATAAAAATTAACGGAAAAATTTGAACTTTTAAACATTTAAGGGGTTTTTGAAGGGAATTTGTAGGTTTTTCAGTTGGAATTGTAGGGTTTTTGCTGGGAAATGTGAGGTTTTGTAACACTTTTAAACAAATTCTTTTAAATTTTAAAAACATTTGTAAGGTTTTAAAAAACTCGTTTGATAATTTGTAAGGTTCTGAAACACTTTCTCAAGTTTTTATCGCGAATTTCAAGCTAAATATCAATAAATTGAGGTCAATTTTGATTGCAAAAGTGCTGCATAAATTAAAGCTCGAAAGCCTTGTCTCACTGAATTATCAGCAATAATCATCAAAATTTAATGATTAGAATTTTCTATCATTGTATTAGTGAAAAACGTTTAAAGATTAAAAAATTCCATTTATCCGTTATTTATGAAGTTCTCAATTTTCACATAATCACGACTGTTGAATCAAAACCAACCTCAATATCAGAATGATGAAACGTTATAATGACAGCTATCAGAACAGTTTATGTGCAAAATGACAATAAAGTCACGCTCATATGAATTTTCACTTGTTTGTTGTTGTTCAACTTGTAACTTGCTGCTATACAAAATTTTCGTGTATTAGTCGTTAAGCAAATAAAATTGTCAAATATAAACATTGCTGCTACTCTTATATCCATATTGCTATGGAAAGCAACCAGAACAATACAAATAATAATGAATGAAAATAAATAGTAAGCATGTAGGTACTACTAAAGGGTCACACAATGGATGAATCATCGCTTAATAATTTTTTAATGTCACACAATTTGTATGTGCCGCCAAAAAATGCTATGAGACAATATTATTTCTTTTTATGGTTCCATTGCTACTTCGTTTCATTATCGTTTTTACGTGCTTGATGTATTAATTTGTTATTTACTAGTCTTTTGTCACAACTCGAGGTGTTTTAAAAAATTTTAAAGGTATACAAAAAGTTATGATAAGCATCTTCAGTGACGAAAACTAGAACCGTACCCAATAAAATTAATTTAATTGAATGAATGAATTAGTCACTCGTCTATTCTTATGTAAAACTTGATAACGTGCGGAAATGGTACAATCATTTCCTACAACATTCAATTAAAAAGGCAAGAGTGGCTGTATTTGTGTCTATGCACTTATTTGATGCTTCATCGACCTTCGCAGAAATTTTATATTCCACATAGTTCTTTTAAACTCGAGAATTTTTATTATTTCGGGTATTTTGGACATTGCATGTGTGAACAAAAATATCCAAAAGAACCGGATTGAGAATATTAATATTCAGTCATCAAGTTAATATGATTGGAATCATGCATTAACTTAATTCGCCTATAACAGAAAGAGATTTGCATGACTGATGAGGTGCCAAACCTATTTATGCCGCATTTCTCAACATTTCTTTTGTTTCTCTTTGGCGTGATTTTGCAGCAATAATAAAAAGTTGTAGGAATGAGGCGTTATGAGGTATTTTATCGTGAAAAATATTTACTATATTAATATTCATTAAGTAAGCTGTGGGTAAATACATGACGAAGCGTCTATATACTTTAATTATCAAGCTACAAATATTTCTTCTTGACTAGAATTCACTAAAATTACGCATGTCAATAATTTTGTGTTTTAACGAAATCTTAAATTTTAAATTCAATAAAAGATCAAAATTTGAACTTTAAAAATTCAAGTAAGATGAAAATATTCAAATTAAATCCGTTTTAGAATTCGAGGAATTTTTCAAGGAATTCATTACTTTTAATTTCATACATAACTAGTCCTATAAATAGCAGCATGAGTAAGAGAGAAATGTAAACGCGACAACAACATATTGATTTTGCATAGTAAATAAATTCCAATCACATGATTCATCTTATTAACGGACCATTAGCATTAAATGTTCTTCTTATAATTATGGCATTTCCAAATCAAAGCAATTTAATATAATTAAATGCTATGCTATGAAAATGATTTTCAATTAATTCCAGACATAACATGCTTAATTAACACAATGAGTCTATTGTTTTTTGGAACATGTCTCTATAGTGATTGAAACATCAACAGAATATAAATATTGTAACTGAAAGTTTTACATTGAGCATGTGATGATTGACTAGTCATTGTAAAGATGATGATGTCTAATTAATTAGGTATACGAAAACTAATCATTCTAGAAAATCCCAATTGTTGACCAAAGTGAATCACAAGAGACACAAAAATTTCTGGGTATTTAAAAATTGCTTACAGATAACTTTTAATTAAAAAGCGTCTCCAACGGGCAAAAATGAATAAACATTGGAGACCATTGTAGATGATAATAAATTAGCGAACATGCTAATGCACACAGTTATCGGAAATTTAATTTTAAAAACAAACAGTCGCAACACACCACGAGTTTTGAGTTTCGCTACTAGCGTCACATGTTTGACAAGATAACATTTTACATAGAATCTCTGAAAATATTTGTAACTTACTACTTGTGTGCTACTATATTCTCACAAATTAATATATTTTATTTACAGATGCCAATGGATCTAGCTGAGAAAATTAATGAAATATCTGATGTAGATATTTTCATTCAAGATTTCGTCGATACAACAAATTCACTCTCAAATGTATCATCAACATTCACACATCCAGCTAATAGAAAAAGTAAGTAAATAAACAAGGTCTTACTTGCATAACGAGGGTAGGGGGTTGGCTAGAAGTCATTCATAAATAACGTCACATGTGAAGCACATTTTTAGAATTCTAATCTGATTTGATTCTTTGTTGATGACTTTCCATTGATTTGTAGACTCTTATTTGATTAGCTTTGTTGATGACTTTCCACTGATTTGTGGCTTAATATTTGATTAGCTTTGTTGATGACTTTCCACTGATTTGTGGCTTAATATTTCATAATCTTTGTTGATGTCTTTCCACTGATTTGTGGCTTAATATTTGATAATCTTTGTTGATGACTTTCTACTGATTTGTAGCTTAACCTTCGAAATTAAAACAAATTTAGGTACATATTAAATAGATTTTTTTATTCTACCATTAAAAATAGTATTTTTTCACAAAAAAATATAATATCATCTATCTATTATTACTGACTGATATCTTCACAATAGAAGATGTTGTACTCAATAACAAATTATTGACAAGGAAATAACGAAAATTGTTCATGATAATGAATATATTCAAAATAAAAATAATGAAGAAAGTTAAAATCGCAAGCGACTTCTCGACATCATTGGTCGTTTTGTACCTTTAATTGGCTTATCTCCCGTTGATGCTGTTGCTATGACTTCAGACATATTGTCTGGATTCTTTGGATGCTCTTTCACAGCTTTTCTAAATCGGCTTAATGAAGGTGTTAAAGAAAAATCAGTTCCAATTCGTTCACCAAATTCGTTTAGTAAATTACGACGAGACTTTTGACTACTACTATTCGATTTATAGATAATTAAAGCTATTTGAATATCATTGTGATTGGCTTTGTTGACTCTATATGATATTAAAATTTTGCATTCGCGTCGTTTATTGTCTTCAATGTGAGAGGAAGACGACGAAACTTGTCTATGCGTTGTTACTGAACCGGTTGATTCTAAATAGTAAAGGTCAGAGTATTTACTCTCTCTTTCGAGTGTTTTCTGTTCGCAAATATTTGCTTGATCGTGAGTATCTTCATCCAAACGTTGTCTCTTAAAGTTCCTTTCTATTGTTTCTTCACTCTTTTTTGGCATTAGACTATCAAGTGATAAATCTAAAGGATATACTCCCAATTCTCCTTCATCGTCAGTATCAGAATTTTCCTCATCACTTGAATCAATAATTAAAATTTTCCTACATGGTGCTGGTGGGCACACTGTTATTGTCGATTTTTGAGGCGGTGTTCGATGAGAATCTTTCAGATCAATAGATGTATTTGCCTCACAGTCATACCATTGGTCATCATTTGATGCTTGTATTGATTTGTCGTAATTCTCTTCGGGTTCTTGTTGACTGGAAGATTAAGAATGGATTAATATTAAATAATAGGATTAAAAGTAAATCTGCTGGATTAAAATTAATCTTTGGAATTTAGACTTCCTTGAACTTTTGAAATAATTAATTAACAGACATGAATTGCAATACTTACGATATCATGTGTGTCAGACGCTCTTCAAAAGCTTGAATTGTCTCTGTATTCGTTAAGTTGTGTTCATAAGCGTTATTGGAGTTTAAATAAAAGTCAACAACTCGCTGCTTCCCCGATAAAGTTCGACCGAACCAATCAAGCACGACATTCGAGGCTAAAACATTTTGCAATTCTTTTTGACGCAATCCAACATTTATAAGTGCATTAATAACTGAATCGTGTGCCATAATCTATAATTACAAAGAAAGAAAGAAAAAAATAAAGAAATTTATTAATTATTTTGTTTGTTTGCAGGAAGAGCAGCTGCAAGTAATCAGTTGCGACAGGCAACATGTCAACCAGTAGATACCGTAATAAGTCTAATTCCAAAGGACGAGAGAGATCCAACAATTTATTACTTTCCTTCATGCGTTATCGTCAAACAATGTGGAGGGTGTTGTGCGCATTCAGGCACAAGTTGTACTCCAACAGATGAGACGGAAAAGCAAATTACAGTTAAAAAGACAAAGTTCGTAAATGAGCCGAAACTGGCAAATTTAGGGGACGTAACGATGACAATTAAGGAGCACAATAAATGTAAATGTCTCTGTAAAAAATCTGCATCAGATTGTAATGGCTTGCAGAGATTTATTAGAAGTCAGTGTCGCTGCGAATGTACTAATTCTAAAGAGGCGGATCAATGTGCACAGGTAAGATAAATTTTTATATTATTAATTAAAATCGCGCCTCTAAATGTGCTTTAAATTGCTTTTTTCCATCTCTTTGTTGACAATATTAAATTTATAGAATCCAAAGAAATTATTTGACAGTAATTCATGCGCTTGTGTCTGCCGTGACACAAAATACTGCGATCATGGATTACGTTTCGATCAAGAGACGTGCTTATGTCAACCGGTATGTATTCTCATGTCTTTATATCGCATAACAATTTATATCCATTCGCATTTCACAAACAACCATTAAGACGATATCGCACATTATTACTCGAAATACAAGTCAGGGATCGTTCGTAAGTGATGTCCATCATTAGGTTATCATAAGATATGTTGTATGTCACTAGTGAACGATCTCAAACATACATCATGAAGAGAATAGAAAGTAGTTGATGGGAAATAGATGTAGACATGCATGGAATCTACTTTTTGTGTATATAAAATTGATTGGACTTTTTTCTTCATTTATAGACGGGCTAATTAATATAAATCTTTTGAAACTTGTATTTATCTTTAACTTGTTAGCAATGTAAGTATTGCGATTCGTGTGTGTGTGTGAGAAAGTGACTAATAGCAAATTTGCAACTAATTCTCATTAAATAATTTATTGTATGATCACAAGGTAGAATGTTAACTAATGTGCATATCCAATACTAACCTAATCGCTTTGCTTAATTTAATGATTTAATTTCTGACTGTAATTAATAATCTATGTAATTCTTTTTAGATAACCGATACTACTGATGAGGACGAATATTCCCTCCAGTTTGGGGAGCACTCATATTCAGTAATTAATGAAACATTTGAAGCAACAGACGATAACAAATATGAAACCGATGAAAGTATAACGACAACATCAGCATAATTAGTCACCAAGAATCGATCATTATATTTAATAATAAATATTTAAATTAAGTAAATGAATAGTTTGAAGTATTAAAGAGCAATATACTTAATTAAGTTTTAAGGCCATCACGTAAAAGTATTTTCTTCTCGCAACAATTGAGTATTTTATGTCGATTGATATTTTATATTGTAAGGAATAAGAATTAATAAGGAATTGTGACTATGAGAAACAATAAAATGTATAATTTGATAATAGAAAGTGCGAATGCCTTACTGGATGATTAATATTCTTTTCAGGCAATTGCGACATTGTAAAAGACATTCATAAAACCTTGTATTTCAGTAGATTGAGCTGTGAATTAGTCACAATTTTGGTTGTAAACAAAAATTTTCAAGCACAAATGTTTTTTTTTTGATTTTTCACTGTTTTTTGATACGTACCTTTGTTTCATCTACTTGCTAATAAAAGCTCCTTAATTAAAATATAATAACACTTGTTTTGCAATTGGAACAACTTAGAATTAGCAATTTATTAAATACAATTCACACATAACAAAGTTTTTAGTATATGATCGATTTCAGGGGCAGAAAGCTATGTCAAATATTAACGACAATCTGAGATTCAAAAAACGGGTGTTTCATACATCTTAAAAATAAAGTTTCACTAATATTAAGGCTGTTGATCAGCATGTTACAAAGCCTAGTTTAATGGGAATAAGGTGATTTATCACACAAATAAAATGTTTCTCATGAATCATGAAAATCACAAATTTCTCAACAGATTTTAAAATTTCAAAAGCAGTTCATCTTCGTTCAGTTCAGCTCAGTTTATTATAGTTCAATTTTTTGTTCTTTTTGTTGATTCAAAGCACTTTGTCTTTCAGTCTTTCAGGGGTGGGTGTCAGGTGGGGGGTGGATGTCAGGTGGGGGGTGGGTGTCAGGTAGGTGTCAATATATTTTGAGAAGCCAATGATTTGAGGGGTGCTGACAAGGTGGGTGTCAGTTGTGGGGGGAGTGACAAAGTGGGTGTCAGGTGAGGGGTGGGTGTCAGGTGGGGATTGGGGCAAGGGGGGTGTCAGGTATATTTTGTGAAGCCAATGATTTGAGGAGTGCTGACAAGGTGGGTGTAAGTTGGGGGGGGGGTCCGAATTTGAGGGGGTTTGTGGGAAAAGTTTGATGTCAGGAATAATTTGTGAAGCCATATAAAATTTTGTGAAGCCATGTGAAGTTTTGTGAAGCCATTCGAAGCTTTGTGAAAAGATTAAGGTAGTCCGAATTTAAGGGAGTTTGTGAAGCCATTTATAAAGTTTTAGTGGGATTAAGGAAATCCGAGTTTGAGGGGGTTGTGAAGCCATGTGAAGTTTTGTGGTAGGATTGACCTTAAAAACATTATGGTTATTTACGTCTTACAGTTATTTACATAATAGCAGGGTTGTTAAAACATATTCTATTTTACAGAATATGTACACATATCCAACACATTTTGCATGTTCACGTGTACAATGTGTGGCAGAATTCATATGTTGGCAGATAATATATGTCACACATTGCATATGTGCACATATTTTATGTGTGATGTGTGCACATATTTGATGTGTGACACATTATTTTGTGTCACATATGAAAATGTGTGATGTGTGACACATATTTATGTGTGTAGATATCATGTGTAAACATGCAAAATCTGCACATATTTATTAATTTGCGGGACTAAAGTGGTATTTTTTTGTAGAATTTATTTAAGAAATTATTGATATATAACCAAAACAGTCAAATACTGAATAAAAGAGTTAATTTTCTCCAAAATATGTTCATCAAACTGTAATTTTAAACTAATTTGATTTTATTTGTTGGAGAAATGAAGATTAAACTAAGAATGATGAGCTTCAGTTATAATCAATACTTTAATAGTAAAACTCGTGTCCCTTAATCACTTGTAAATCAATTTTAAGTCAAGTTTTCCGAAAATAAAGTCAAATTAGTTTAAAATTACAGTTTGATGAACATATTTTCGACAAAATTAACTCTTTTATGCAGTATTTGACTGTTTTGGTTATATATCAATAATTTTTTAAATAAATTCTACAAAAAAATACCACTTTAGTCCCGCAAATTAATAAATATGTGCAGATTTTGCATGTTAACACATGATATCTACACACATAAATATGTGTCACACATCACACATTTTCATATGTGACACAAAATAATGTGTCACACATCAAATATGTGCACACATCACACATAAAATATGTGCACATATGCAATGTGTGACATATATTATCTGCCAACAAATGAATTCTGCCACACATTGTACACGTGAACATAATTTTAAAAAAGGCCAGATTCTATTTTTAACCACCCTGCATAATAGTAATCAAATTTTAACCCTGATAAGAGGCGCCTCCGGATAGCCTAGTTTTTAAAATATTAGACTTTATTTTTCAAATATTTGAGTTCTTTGCTAGAAAAATGCGCTTCTGTCAGTCACGAGTGATCACGTCTTTACTAGTTTTTTTTTTATCGAAAGAGAAAAATCAAAATAGTTCTCATAAAATATAATTTTAAATTAATTTAAAGTAGATAGAGACTCTTGGAAGCAGTGAAAATAGATAGTTAATGATGTGATTGGATGTAGGAGACAGTGGCAATTGATTAAAATTCGATACATAATTCGAAATAGTGATAAGATAAGAAAAAGAAAAAAATATAATTTAATTTCATTATTTTTGAGTGATGTCTCGAAGAAGAAATAGTCGCAAAAATTGTTGTGAAGGAATTTTCTCACATTTATTAAGGATAAGATTTACTCCAGAGGAGCTTGAGCAACGCGATAAGTCGCGTAAAATTGACAAATTTCTGGAGAAAGATAAAAATTCCTTTCGAAGACAGGTAAATTTCTCTACTTACTACTCACTGTGCCTGTATATCATTTTAGTCGCATGATTTCCATGATTCTGATTCATCACTTTTTTTGTTTAACATTTATCGTTTGTCGCTACGATGGACATAACTTCACGAGAGCCAATTGTTTATTGTTTACACATTTTTTTTTGTTCATTATTGTGCCATTTTTCTAGGTGAAATTACTATTGCTGGGCGCTGGAGAGTCTGGAAAATCAACGTTCCTGAAACAAATGCGCATAATTCATGGAATCAAATTCGAGCCGGAATTGATTAGAGAATATCATCATGTTATTTATCAAAACATTGTAAAAGGTACCAAAAACAAGACATGCATTTATTGCCTGCCTGCCTCCTTTCTTCCCTTCATTTCCTTCTCTTTATTCTTTCCATTTTCACTCTCTCTTTTTGTTGTTTATTTAAAGTCCTCATTCCACTACATCAGCATTCTTTTTGCACTTTATTTTTTTATTATTTACTCAAATCATATGTGCCTGTGCATATACAAAGCTACTCATTCTAGACTCGATTCTGTCTTTACTTGTTTTTTTTTTTTTACTTTCATTGTCGCCAAACTGATCTTTCTCTGTTTTAGGGATGCAAGTATTAGTTGACGCACGGGAAAAATTGGACATAGCATGGGAACATCCAATGACAGAGCATGCAGCTAATCAAGCCATATTATTTCATAGCAGTAATGATTTAGATCTAGAAACATTTCGACAATACGCACCATTTATAAATCGTCTGTGGCAAGACAAGGCTATCAGAAAGGCTTATGATCGAAGAAGAGAGTTTCAATTGGTTCGTATTTTATTGCCTTATATTTGCCAATTTGTTGTTTGCTATTTTTGTTTATGCAAACAAATCATGCCCACATATTATATATATTATGAGTACGGACTGACTGATAGAATTTCTCTTTATCTACTCAGTTATTTTTTCCTTTACACAATTTATTTACCAAAGTACTTGATGTTGATTCTACATACAACTCCCATTTATCTTTCTCTGATTTCTCTTTTTAGAGCGACTCTGTTAGTTACTTTTTTGACGAACTCGATCGAATATCACGGATTGATTACGTTCCATCAAACAAAGATATTCTTCATTGTCGTAAGGCGACAAAAGGCGTCTTTGAGTTTACAATTAGAATACAAGTAAGTCACCAAGTATCAATTGCATTAAACTCGACCAGTTTGAGCTTTTATCAATGCAATTTCTATGCTTCTAAGGAACTGAAATTTCAGATGCTGCACTGAAAATTTAACGAACTTTTAAATTCAACAATTTTAGACGCTTCATGCTTCTTTAAATTCTTATTAAGCTGGAAAAGTCTGTGTTGATTGCATGTAATATGTGCTTTCATCAGCCACGAGTGATCACGTCTATTAAACTTATTTTCTAATTAATTGTTTGTGTACATTGCAGAACATTCCTTTCGTTTTTGTCGACGTCGGCGGGCAACGGACTCAACGGCAAAAATGGACCAAATGCTTTGATGGTTCTGTCACATCAATACTATTTCTCGTTTCGACTTCAGAGTTCGATCAGGTGCTTGCTGAAGATAGGTAAGACTTGCCAATAATTTCATGCAATTAATGATCCTTAATTGAGTATTTCTGATTGTTGTAGAAAAACAAATCGATTGGAAGAGTCGAAGAACATTTTCGATACGATAGTTAACAATACAGCGTTTCAAGGAATCTCAATAATCCTTTTTCTAAATAAAACAGATTTGTTGGCGCAAAAAGTAAAGAATCCTGAGACTGATATACGCTGGTATTATCCGCAATTCACAGGCAACCCTCACTCGATAATTGACGTGCAGACATTCATCCTACAAATGTTTTTGCGCGTTCGTAAAATTAACCATAATCACAGTTTGAAACCACCACAACCAATTTATCATCATTTTACAAATGCTGTCGATACACAAAACATTCAGGTTGTATTTAATTCAGTGAAAGACACAATATTACAAAGAAATTTGGCGAGTTTAATGCTACAGTGAACATTTCGTGAGGTGCTGTACATATGGATAGAAAGTAACTGAAACATGATATAGAAAAGTGTATATGATAATAATATCCAGTATTTGTCTAAATTCTTTTTTTTATGTCCAACATCTATCTATTTATTATAACCTTTTGTTTTCTCGTTTTAATTATGCTACATATTACAAGATATGCACAAACACTCAGCGCTCAAGAGATTTTCTTTTCTTTCTTTTTTTCATCAAGTTTAACAATTGAAAAAAAAAGAAGATAGCGAAATATACTTTGTGATGACCAAAAAGGAATGAGGATGATAAGAAAAAAAAGTTATTTCCTTTAAAAAGAAACTGTGTCAATGTATTTCATATTGATCAAAAAGAAAAAATTATTGTTTTTGTGTAAATAGATGAAATTCATTTTAATGTTAAGTATAATGCCACAAAAATATCACAATAATCCTAATTAACTCACACAATGAAAAAAAAAACCAAAAGAAAAGATTAAAAAAAGTGAATCTTTATTTTGAACTATCGAATAATTCGGCAGAAATAGCAAATTAATTAGTTATTTTTTTATTTTCTTGAATAATCATATAAAAAAGCTTTACATTCAGTTCTTATTCTTTAATTGACCATGTATAATTATGTTCAAAACGTAATAATGAATTAATAATATATAAAAACTTGTGAGACTAAAACATATTAATGATGATATCAAATAATGAAACGTGAAAAGAAACGAAAAAAAAGAAATAATTTTTGGTGCCTTTATTGGAAATTTCATAAGACTCAAAATAATAATTTGGAACTTCCTTTTTGATACGAAAATAAACACACAAGAAACTGATGAAAAATAACAAGCATTAAATGTCTTCGTAATGAATTATCACAACGCATTTTCATTTATACTCTATATCGGCTAAATCTGATTATGAATCAGATGAACTTTTAACAGGAACAAGAAGAGCTGATGGGGTTTTACTTCCGTATAGTATTATGTTTCTTATTTATTATCTACCGAGAATTTACGTTTGCGTTTAAAAAAATCAAAAAATTATATTAATAATTATTGTCTAATTCTAATATTACAAATTTTTGGAATTGAACCTTTGAGTTATGTGATTACTTATTAGAATCATTCGATTTCAGTTGTATCTTTGTGATTACTTATTAGAATCATTCGATTTGCAAATTTGTTTGATTAGGCAAGCTGTTAAATGTAAGAATACGAAGTAACAAGTCATAAATGGGCAATTCCACGGATGAGTGGAATTCAAGAAAAATGAATTGCAATTCTTCTTCTACTTGAAAATTTAAATTTTATAAATACGTTAAATTTTTTTAATAAAAATTTCATCTTTCTTTAAAATTTAATCACAATTCGTCGTTATTTACTTATTTTAACAAATTTTGTTGTTTATACAATATTAACTTGATATTTTTGACAAAAAAAATGTCCACTATAAGATCAATTAAATACAGGGAAAGCTTGAAACAACCAGAAAATCGCGAAAAGTATGAACAATATCTACTGAGAAGAAAAAAGAACAACCAGAATTACATCCATAAGCAACTAATGAACAAAAAGACAGCAAAAGTATTCATAAGGAAGCAGCATAAATAAGAAAAATAACTTCTATCAACCTGAATAAATTCTTGATTTAAAATAAAATTTAACGTATTATTGAATTTTGAATTTTTCAAAACTATTGATAAGACGCTTTCTGTTGTACTATTACAAAAAATATTGTCAAATTTTTGATTTTTCTCTTAATTAAGCAATACTAATGTGAATTTAAATATGGAGAATGATTAAATTTGATAAAATGCACAGGATATTAAGATTGAATAGACGTCTAGATGTTTAGAAAGTATAAAAATTCGGCTCACAAAATATAAATTCTACTTTTTGTAATAGTACAACGCTCAGAAAAAGTCGAATATTTCATTAATTTAAGCATTTAGAAGGACGCAAAACAACCATAACGGAAGAATTTACCGTTTTACATAAGTTTATTTAGTCATTGAAACGTCTTTATTGCTGAATATTGAGAAAAATTGATTTAAAGACGAATTTTTTGAAAAAATCAATCCGTGGAATTGCCCAAATCACAGTCTATATAGTTGGATTTAGAATCAATCTGAAAACTTTAAAAATGTCAGAAAAATTACTTCAATTTGATTTCTAGCAAATAATTGTTACAACTTAAGTGTCTTTAACTTATTACGTTCTAAAAACTCATTTTTCCGTGACGTAATGAGTGAAAGAGCCTTTAAATAAATTCTCTGCGGTTAAAAGTTAAGTTCCCGACTCATAAATACCAACTCCTCATTAGCTAGCCAAAACAAACCAATAAAATTCCAGTAAACACAATCCATTAATAATATACAAAACGAAGAATAATCTAAAGTAGGCAGAGATTGATATAATCTTCATCTAGAAAGCAGCACCTAAATTAGTATTTCTTCATGCTCCATTTTTATGACAAATATTTAGATAACAAATTCAAACATCACTTAATCTTTTAAAAATCTAAGTCAAGAAATTCGATTCAGCTTAGAGAAGCTTTGCCTTAACTGCATCAGTACAATACAGACGATCATTTATTTATCTATTCTCAATAGCCATCGCAACATAAGTATCCAATAAATTATAGCTGTTTTCAATGGTATATCTTCACTTTCAATCTTATGGCACTACAATTAACAACAAATATGAATATTTTTATGGTTTTTTGGGAGAGTTAATGATTTGACATACTTTTTGGATGTGATGAGTAATGGAAGTATTTGAAATAAATTTAGAAAAAAAGCTCCGGAATGAACTTAAAACTGTGTTTTATGGTTTTAATGATGAAATCTATATTAAGTCATTAAAAAAATAAAGCAATTAAAACTGAAAAATGGAAATGACATGTTAGCTCTTCTAGTTCCTGAATTTTGATGACAATAATGACTCATAAATCATGTCTTATATGTACCAATTATCTTGTACATCCAATTAATGAGCAATAACTGCCGATGAAAGTAAGGCGTCGTTCATAAATGATGTTTATCTTTTAATGGAGGGTATGCAGCTGTGTGATCATTTTCTGGTAACATTGGAACTGCATCACATACAATTTGGTATCAGTAGCTGAGTTTTTATGATAGGGGGGGGGGGGGTGTAAAAATATTTTACATAGATACATCATTAATGAACTGATCCCTGAAAGGAAAATGTGTTGAAAATGATAAAAATCAAGAAAGTGGTAAAAATGTAAACCGCATTTAATATTTTTGTAATAAATTAATTGCATTTGCATGTAATTTATGATATAATGATTCACTCATAGCAATAGTTAAAATAAAAACAACAAAAAATTACATTTGTATATTAAGTTGAGAGCTTTTTCATTATTTCTGTACTTACAGCAATGTCAAGTGATGTAATTTCGTTTCCATGTCAGCTTGTGGAATGCGTCTTCTGAAATGTTTTCAAAACATGTTTGATCAGATGCTGGAAGAGATGTATTTACATAATAAGACTCAAAAATTCATTTCAATTCTTTATTAATTCTTCACATTTAATTAAAAAAGGTCTACATTAAAAATTGTATGCTTCTTTCATTTACTTATGTCGTGTCACAATTCTTCATTTGATCATAAAAATTTAAGTAGTGGAAGCTGGGAATGTAAGAAGTGAATTTATTGTATCTTGCATCATAAATTGTGGAAGTTATTTTGAATAATTTTATACTTATTAATTGGTAAATACCTAACTACATACTGAGATATTAAAGAATATCTTAATCATCATCCGCATGCTATAAAATTACTCTATGGCTTCGTCTTCTTTTTTTTAAGTTTTTTAAAATTTAAATACATTCATATTTGTCTTTATTTTACATACATTTTATTAGGTAGCTTTAAAATACTTTTTTTTACTTCTTCTTCTTTCTCTTTTGTCTATTTTTATTCCATTTAAAAATTTATCATAATTTAAGCTTTGTGGATTTTTCATTTTAAAAAAAGACTTACAAAAATATTTTTATAGTATTTAATAATGAATTTGCATAAATTTCTTATAACTCGTTCTACAAACATTAGAAAAAGCTCGATGAGAGAGATGACGAGGTAGTGTATAGCATGTTGGAATTTTATTTATTTATTTGTAAAACAAAATGCGCTTCGGTTGATTTTCTGTCTTAGGTGTGGTAGACTTGACAATGGAATGTCATCGGAATGTTACCATAGGTGCTGCATTGCATTAATTAATTTTTGTGCAATTCACACTTCTGTGAGAAATGGTTTTACAACCGTCATTTGATTTTATGCTAGGAGTCAGGGGCGTATTATGGGGGAAATAGGGGTTAGAATCTCCTGATTAAAAAAAAATCATCGATTTGCTAGGGGGTCGTTCACTTATATATGACTAGGGTTGCAATATGTGATGACATGTCAAAAAAATATTTCCTGTGACACATGAAATTACGTCACACATTTTTTCTGCGATATGTCAAACATATTTCCTGTCAAACATATTCATGTGTCCACATATTTTAGCTGTCACATTTTTTATGTGTCACATATTATGTTTTTCTAGCATAAAATATGTTTTTCCCGTTTTTTTTTTGGAATCCAAATTAGATTAAAAAGGTCCAAAAATTAATTTTCTATCAAATTTGACTCTAAGCATATCATTAATGATAAAAAATCAAAAAATTGAAAATATTGAATGACAAGAACATTTTTTACTGCTTATAAATAACATTTTCCAATTATTTCTGCTCATTTTTTACTACCAGGAAAGGTTTCTTAAGGTCCAAAATTAATAAAATTTAAATTTTATCCAACTTAGACCGAAAAATCAAAAATTTATCAAATATTTATAAAAAAATATTTTATGCTTGAAAAACATATTATGTGACAGGAAAAATATGTGACACATGAATATGTTTGACAGGAAATATGTTTGACATATCGCAGAAAAAAATGTGTTAACATGTAAAATGTGTGACATAATTTCATGTGTCACACATAAAATATGTCACATATGTGCGCATATTCTGTAAAACATAATATGTTTTTGCAACCCTGCTTATGACGTCCGAATTTAACGGTCATTTTTCATAAAAGAACAACGGATTTCCAGGAATTTCTATCTTTTCTTCTTTTCTTGCTGACCCCCCCCCCTGGACGTCATAAGTGAACGGCCCCTAGAGTTTATTGAGTAAAAAAATCTCAAAAAGAGAAGCTACGCTAATAGTAGGACCCCCTTCTGAACTTGATTTGTTACTTCAATTTGCTGAGATACAGGGGAGTGGTTCTAGGTTTGAGCTCTGTGGTTTGGCCTCTCTCGTTTAACTCCCATTAGCTGCGAATCGCCCTAGCGCATTTTTGAATCTTGTTTTTTTGAGATACAGATTTCAAAGACCCCCTTCCTTATTCTAAAAACTGTTTATGCCCCCCGATACCCCTCAAAAAAAAATTCAAAATTAAATAAGCCGTTATTTCAAAAAATTCGATGCAAATACACTTCCTCAAATATTGTTTGTATATAATGCTATTGTCCAAAAGCAATACCTAATCTTAACTACTTAGCTAAACTAATAATTTTTTTCGTCATTTCTTTATTACTTGACTACACATATTAAACAAATTTCATAATAATAATAATATTTTTTTGTCTGTATCAAAAGAAATATCGATTAATTAATTATTTTTTTTCGTCATCCTTCAATTCGATTAAATTAAAGTCATTGAATTAAGTATTTTAAAAACATTTTAAAGTCAGAACTTTTAAGTTATCACCCATGTTGAATTAAATAATAAAATCAACATCACTAATCCTCGTCTTATTTGTTATGTGCATTATTAATTACTTGTGTGAATTACTTAGACTGACGTATTTCCGTTTGATTTTCCATTTCCATTAGCTTTATGTTCGGTGTCACCTGATTCGTCGTCAGTAACTTTACTGTCATGCTGCTCGTAATGCTCATGTGTTTTATCTTCTTCAGGTGCTATCTGAGCTTCTGAGTCGGGACTATTGGGATGCATGGAATCGCCTACAATGCAAAGTCTTTTGTAAATTGAAAAAAATCAATGGTGATATTGTTAATCGGGTTAGTCATGTATATGAGATATAATTTTGATATTTTCTCTTCCTCTCATTGTATACTTGAATTTATGTAAAATAATTACATATCTCATAAAGACATATTAGCTGGCCTGAATATTGTATGGTGCATGAATAAATATTGTGAACGTAATAATTTAGTAAAGCTCACCTGCAAAACACCAGCGCTTAGTGACGCGAGCGACCACAAGTAACGCTACTACGAGCAATACGAAAATAGAAATGACAGTTATACCGATAATTGGAACAATACCGAGCCCTGAGTCTATAGCGTGGAAAAAAAGTAAAGATTAATAATAAAAATAGAAAAATAAAATTAATCAAATCAGTTTCATGACAAGATTGTGAAATTAATAATTACCGTCTAATTCTTGTGAGCCGCCGATGCGAACTGAATAATCATTTGCTCCAAACTCGTTGCTTGCACGTAGCATATATGTTCTCAATGTGTCTTCGAGTGATAGATCAATTACTGTTAACTTTGCAATCCATCTACCTTCTTCGTCTTGTTCGGCTGCGTAGACTTGATACTTATTTGTTTGTCTTCCTTCATCGTAGCTATTTCCTTCAATAGTCCATTGAAGACGTGGTTTTGGGTTGGAACGAAGTCTCAAAACAATATCAACTGTACGACCGATTTCTAATCCTGAAATGTACAATTCATCTCGACTAAGAGCCATCGGTTGATAATTGACATTTAATTGCATTGATGTATTTGTGTATCCATTATCGAAGGCTTGATGATCTAGTCGACACACCAATGATTTAAGATTGTCATCGGCTGAGAGTCTATGTGAAACCACTGATATCACTGTGTCTTTTTCATTATTGTAGAATTCTTGATTCTTTGGAATGATTCGTTCACCGCCTAAGAACCATGAAACTTGAGCATGTGGATGACCATCACGGTACTCACATTCTGCTTCCATCTCTTGACCTGCTTCTAATTTTCTGTCATTTTGTACAAAGAGTATTGGCTGCTTTGGAGGTCTTGCAATCTCAATTGGAATAATTCCAATAATATCATCGGAACCATCACCTAAATCTAATCGACAAGTCACATTTCCTTCAAGTTCTCTATTCAACTTTTCGATCGTTACACCACACTGTCCATTCTCAAGTCCTGTTCCAAAATATTTATAATTTGGTCTTGCAGGAAATGAAGGACTCAACTTTGGACGATCTTCATTTGGAAATTCAAAAGAACATCGATCAATAGGCTTTCCAAACGTACACAGTAGATCAACTTTTTCTCCTTCTTGACCAGTGACTTTTTGGGGTGTTGTACTAGCAATTCGTTGGCAATGAACAATTGAAATGATTGCTGCAAAGATATACAATGTTATATATTAAATTACGATAAATTATGGAAAATGATATTGAGTTAGGAACTGATGAAATAAATTTGCAAATAGAAAAGTTTTGTTTTGTTTTTTTTTTCTCGTCCATACACAATAAGAATAAGCTGCCTTATTCATATGTTAAATGGCAAACAATCACGATAAGTCTCTTTTTGCATAATAATAAATACAAGGTATGTTTATAAAAGAGCGTTATACGCTCAATATTGGTGTCAAGTTTTCCACGTGAACTACTGCGATATGGGAACTGCTTTGTTCACTTGTTTGTGGCTACTTCTAGTACGAAAGTCTTTCCAACAATAACAAACCATTTTTGATTAGAATATAAATGCTATCATTGTATGTTTACCATGCCAGTCAACAATTTGCGAAACAACTAGCTTTGCAAATTAAATAGAAAAGTTTTGAGTCATCTTTTTAAGTTTGGCAACTTAAACAGCTTGCGTGTTTGATTCAAGAATGCCCTAAACTTCATGAAAGATTCAAGAACATCAATGTTATTATTCAAATTTGGCAAAGGACAACATCCAAAAATTTAGAGCTTTGTGACACTTTCACTAAAGACAGTTTTTAAAACAGATTAGGATATCCCAATTTGTGGACTACATTCATAAAGTGAAAGACCCCTAAGGGGCTGTTCACTTATTACGTAACGCGAAAAAATGACTTCTTAGACCCCCCCCCCCTCGTAACAAAATTTGTATGGAAAAAAAATTTCCTTGTTTGAACCGTAACAAAATCTTAGACCCCCCCCCCCTAAAAGCGTTACGTAATAAGTGAATGGCCCCTAAGTGAATTAGCAGAAAAAGTAGACATTAAACTTCTGTAAAAACGATCATCATTAATCAATTAAATTTCAAAGGTGTTGCTAAACGCCGTGATTCACTTTACCTTGCTGAGAAATGCTTTGTCTTCAAAAAACTCATAGATGTTTTGAAAAACAGCCACAAAAAAAAAATCATTAATGAGCATTCGCGTAATTTTATTTAAATGTTTGAAGAAATTAAAAGAGTAGAGTCTCTAAATGCACATTCAGATGTTGAGCAATGGCACTATTATGTTTCTAATTGAAGCAGTTGAATTGAGTTGCTCGTACAGCACATAAAAGGGGGACACAATAAAATGTATAAATAAGAAATTACTCATGAATGACTTTCAAAACAATTGAAATCTTTTGTTCATTCTCGTGATAAATATTTTTTTTTGAGGTAGACAAAATTGCTTAATTAAGATTTTCAATATTTTATTGATCAAGTGACAAAAATTTTCACAGTTGTCGACCATACCCGCCGCAAAATCATGGCCGTAATGCAATTTAAATTAAATTCTTCATCAGCAGCTGGATTGCGCAAAGTTTCCGTGCTTACAATACAGCTCATATAGCTTAAGCATTAGTTTGAACTCAACATTATGCGCTTTGATGCCAATTATCTGATTTTTCAGTTGGTGATTACTCAATATTTTGCTTTTTGCATGCTTTTTTTTTCTCATTCTCTGAATCATACTCGATTTATTTTTGGGGTCATTCACTTATGATGTCTTGGAATACGATCAAGGACGTGAGGAGGGGATGTAAATATTTGTTTAAAGTTCTGTCTCGTTATTTAAGGTTATAGAGTCACCAAGCTACTATTTTCATATTTTCTGATTGATCATCATTTAGATGACACCCCTTAGACCAAAAGAAGGGCTTGAAACTTCAAGAGGTTGACCCAAAACGTTATCAAACCATAGACGTTACTTATGAACCATCCCTTATTACTATTTTTGCTGTTCCATTCCGTCTTTCAATCTCAACATTAAAGCAGTTCTTTTGTATGAAGCGAATTACTGTTTTACTGAATATTATGTATGATGAATTTTTTTTATGGCAACGAAATGAGTATATGCGCGCATTTATATATTGCATTATACTGTTAGGCATTTAAGTGATCGCTTATAGCATTGCAAATTTTTTTTTCCTTCTTTTTCTCATCTACTTCGATTCATTCTGGAGAAACAATTAGGGACGGGTGATTAGGAGTTATCGGCATGTTATGTTTTTATAAATATCTTATTAGAGTAACAGAAAAATTAATAATATGAAAAAAAATGGTGCTCGTCAAAAGAGAAATCGAGCCCAACAGCCACATTATACCGTGCTATGGCTTTTTTTTTCTTCCTCTCCCGTAAAACTTCTTTCAAGCAACTTTGATGAATAAAAAAAAAGTACGATTGATTGATCACTGGCTGTCGATAGCTGTGAAAAAAACTTCAAAATGGAAATAATGAAAAGTTTCTTGAGGTAGAAGACTGTACTGGCTACGAAAAAAAAACCATAATCAGTTTTGCACTGGAAATGAAATAATCGAGAGCTTCATTCGACACAAACGTCGAAAACAGCAAGAAGAAGAAATAAAAACGAGAAAAATGTGATCATTAGTGCTCAATGATTATTTCACTTTCTCACTTTTTTTTTAAATTTATTTATATCCAACAGTCCATTCTTGGAAGTCGTCATACGAGATTCAATGGTACAATTGCAGGCCACTAAACCAGATTGCAAATTTTCATTTTCATCGCGCCAATATTAAATTACGGGAGTGCTATATAGTATTTTATCGTATCACAAAATTGTGGCAAGCGGATGAATCTTATGCTTCAGTTTGCCTTGACGAACAATTGATGTATCATAAGTCGTGTGTAAGGTTAGGTTAGATTTCTAAATGATTTTGCAAAAATTAAATTAAATTGAATGAATTCGGATTATCTTTGGAATCTGTAGCCTTCATAAGAGCTGTTGATTGGGGGTCGTTCATAAATTATGTCCAATAGAGACGACGTACTCTAATGACGAGATAGCTGTTCAGATTGATACTCACACTTTGCTAAACTTTCAGAACCACTCTCTTAACCCCAAAGAAGCGAAAAATGTGCAAAGTCCAACATTTAAAAGAACCAGAAAGGTATTTGACACTTATTCCATATCTTATTAACACGTGTGTAAAAGCTTCATGTCAAAGTAAGGACAGAAAGCGTCCAATAAACCTCATTTACACCCGAACATCATTAAAAGACGATCCCAAAAGCATACACAATGTCATAAAATGCACCACAGCCATTCACCTATGATGGTATTTAACTTATTTCATCTGCTTCATCGCAAGATCGTAAAACAACATTAAAAACTGGGTGTGTTGTATGTGTACCACATGGATGAAGCAATTGAATACTACAATCGAGCATGGCTTATTCAATTTTTTTTTCTTCATCTCATTCTCATGTTACCGTGTGCTTTTGCTCTTTTTGATTTCCTCATGCCATTTAACTTTCGTTATTTTTACTTGCTTTACAAAAAAATATATATAATATTATATTTATTAAGCAAAGATCAATAAGCAAGCAAGTAAGTAAGTAAAAGGAGGAAAGAACGATCGCGAATTGAGGGAGTGAAAGGGAGACGAAGAAGTACGAGAGTTAGAGATTATGTTCAAAAAATCGTGGCTTTTCTTTCTTAGAAACGACTGACATATAATAAAGTTTTTTTAAGAGGCTTTAAAGACGGTTAAAAGGTAGTTTAAAGGCAAGAAGAAGAAAAGTTATACTTTTTTGTTTTTTTTTGTAAAAGCCAAACATGTGACGTTGATCCATCATGCTAGTGTGTGTTTTGCTTGTATATTCTCTTCTATTTATTATTATCATCATGGCAGAAAGACAAGCAAGCAATGGAGATGAGAATTGAAAACAGAGAAAACCCGTTCATGCTGTTTCCAAATATCAACAAGCTAGTATTTGTTACCGCGCGTTTCTTCCTCTCATTCTGTGCCGTTCAAATAAGACTTTTTTTTTATTCTCTGGAGTTTCTTCAACCTTCATTTAGCTCATTCTTCTTTATTATTTTTTTAACTATTATAACGAACATAATCTAGGTATATCTTCAAGACGATAGAAATGTTTTACTTTTTAACGTTTTCTTTTCCTTCTTTTATCTTTCTATTCTTCAATTCTTTTCTTTTTTGTAACGAATTATTACTTAGAAATTGTACTACATTCTGTCCACATCTACATCTGTTGATGAAAGTAAAACTCAAAAGTCTCTTGTCTCCATATCCTGAGGAAATTATAACGAACTTTTTTAATGCTCTGTCGTGAGTACTAAGAAAATAAGTAGCTGTTTTTCTAGTCTTTGATGCCATTTCTCCTTTGAGACATTTTCGGTATCATTATTGAAAATTGAGCTTTCTGACTGTCGAATGTTTTATGCTTGTGTAAACAGTCACTCGAGTCGTTGCTTTTTCGCTTTAACCCAATTCTGAGGAAAATGAAATCTCATTCTTATGATGATGCTTTAAATCAATAAACACAATTGTGTCGATATGAATGATGAAAGCTATGACTATATTGCAGTTTCTTAAAATCATGAAATAGATTCTTGGAAGTGAATCAGAAATGACTAATAATTTATAAACTATTGCAAATAAGTTTAATTTAATAAAAAGTTTTACATTAAGGGTCAAAAATTGAACGTGTGATTCAAACTATTCTCAATCTATAAGATCTATCGCTGAGATTGTTGTCGGGAGAGTAGGGAATAGTTTTAACTTCTGGAGTAGCTTTCTAGGTTATTTTCTAGTCATTTATCACGTCTGATTGTCAAAAACTAATTTGAAGTTACAATCTAATTCATGTAATCATTCATTTTCTTTGGATTATCAAGCACAGCTCTAGTCTATTATGGCAAACTTTGATTAGTAAATGAAATTACATTCATCGAAAAAAATTGAATTTTCTGCCCTTCACTTCCTCTATTTTGTAAATTTCATAGATATTATAAAATACAGACATGACTGTTGACTAATCTACGGGTTTTATCTTATTTCATAAACTTGATATTTTGACAAATTATTACAAATCTTTCAATTATCAGAATAAATATTTATTACTTAATATTTTAAAGCTATAAAATGTTTAATGATTTATTTTG